TAAACTCTGAATCTGTCACCTGCCGACTGACATCCTCGCACTCTGCTCTCTCATTGTGATTCAAATGCGAAATTGGGGGAGTGGCGGAGTGAGAGTTTGGGAAAGCACTTAATGTTGCGTGAAAAGCGCGAGAAAGCCGAAATGAATGGAGCACAAGGAAATAAACTGAACTGTCGATTCCCACTTTGACAGCATCACAGCAGAGCACTCACTCAGCCGCAGCACACAGCCCACAGCCGTAAAGCATAAATAATTCAGGATACGCGGGGAGGGGGCGGGACCATTTTCTTTTTCACGCCAAAGAAAGATTGACTTTTAATTTGCCATGGCAACTCCCGAAAATGGGGAGCATCTTTTTTTTTGTTGGTCCGCAAACCCGCGGCTGTGTTGGCTTTCGCTTATAAATAAACCAACAATTTGTTGCTTCTCAAATAGCGGAAATTCCAATTAATATGCAAATGTACGAGTGCTCGGGATAATTAACCAGGAGAACACAGCACTGACGATCTGAGTATTTGCATTGTATCCCCGCGAAGCATCATCAGAGGACCTATCACAGGAGCCAATGTCATTACCTCTACAGCGCTGACAGAGCACATTCCACAGGCTGCCATTAGGGGCGCCTGCCCCTAAAACTGTTAGAACTGTCAACTGAAGCGCCACCGCCACCCCGATGACATTTCAATAAACAGATCTCACTCTAAACAGTATTGATTAACAGGCCATGGATGAGCGGCAAAATGGAAATGAGTGGAAATGACAGACAATTTGGGAAGGCAATGGGAAGCAGCTGCATGGAGTCTGGACTCCATGTCTGGACTGAAGGCCTGCAAGGGCACTAATAGCCACAGGATGAGACGGACAACGCCGGACAATGCAGTCCAATTAGGCAAATGGAAGGGCGATTAAGTCCGTAAGGTCATGTCCGCATGTTCATCAAATAATGGCAAAGTCATTTCCATTTATTGCACACAATTTCAATTATATCGAGTGCCGTGTTGTGGTCCTGAATCGAACTCGTGACAAATGTCTATTGCGGAATAGATTTGCATGGGCTGTGGCTGGAGCTGGGTCTGGGCATGGACCTGGCCCGCAAATGGCAGTCATTTATCAAAAACAAAAGGCGCTGACTTGGCTGCTTTTACCTGGCGATAAGAAAAGCCAGGAACCATGCCACCCACACTCACCCCTTGGCAGAGGCCTTTTGTTCGGTTTGATGTTGCCATTTAGTGAGGCTCCTTTTGTTGCTGACAACCGGAGATAAATACATATATACTATAGGTCATTTTATTGTCGTCCGTTTGTGCTGAGAGGATTGGCAGGGGAATCAGTGTGCTGTGCATATTTAATGGCGTATGCAAATGCAAAGGGTCTCGTATCTAAAATGGCTTAAAGGCCGCTTTATTTACGAGTCCAACAATACCACAAAAAACATATTTAACTCACTCGCCGGCATTGTGTTTCAAAGGAATCTGCCCACACCCACTGGGCCTAATGCCAATCCACTCTCCTGCATAGGCATTTTGTAGGCAACCCCAATCCGCATTAGTCTGCTGAGAAGGCCCTAAATCAAATTGCCCTTCGTTGGATTTGACATACGACCCGGCCTCTTATCAATGGGCGGGCTTAGACCCTCATACGACATAGCGATTTCTAAGGGCACACATCTACATATGCACATGGGAGTGTGTGCATTGACATTCCCAATGATTTGGCTGGGTAGCAATTAAGTCGAGAGTTCAGCAGCTTTTTTAATTTCAGACGAAATTCCTAAGCTGCACACTTCAACATGAACCATTCGTGTCCCTTCAATGTAAGTTCGTTAACATTTCTATTTCTACATATATTTTCTGCTTCAGAATGATCTGTTTTTGGACAAGCTTTCAACGAACTTTGTGAATCATCAACTGAGAATGGTTCTGCCAGTCCATAAGGGTGAGTATCTATTGGAAACCCAATGGTCTACTGATGACATCAATATCGAGCGTTTTAAGTTCCAGTTTTATAAATTAAATTTTATTCCTTATTCTGTGCGATTCTGGGCAATTATATCCGTAAATATGACTCCTTTCTGTATCGATATATCCCTGTGTGTGGCAGCCACGAGCATATAAGAGCATTTATCTAAGAAACAGAGGCACAGATTCAATCGATATTTCACTCAAGTCTAACCATTTCGAAGCACTCTCTCGCTCTCTGTCTATACACATACACAAATACATATATCAATTGCAATCAATCAAAAATGTGAAAAGCATGGAAAACTCGTTTGCATTGCAATGCAGAGACAATGAAAGTGAAAGCTGAACCAGAAACAGAAACAGAAGCCAGGTGCCAGGAGCTGGGAGGTGGAAAAGTGCAATTTGATTTTCTATAGCAAAGCTTCTTTCTTTCATTCATTCATTCATTCCTAAACTTCACTGACATTGAATCCGGAACGACTGCCAGGCACTGCTGAGCCCCTGGTAAGTGTTGAAGCCATACAAATTTAAGCAAACTCGAGGCACCCGTGAAATGTTTGCTTTGATTTCGATTTCATTCACTCGAAAACTAAACGAAATCATGCGGAGTGGAATGAAGTGAATTTAAATTGAAGCTACGCTCAATTGGGATTTGGCCATTGCCCCGAAAGTTTTCCATCAAAGCCTTGGCGCCTTAGACATGGTCTTTTCCGCCTCCCATCCTTTTCAAAATTACATTTTAAATTAGTTGTTCTTAATGCCATTGGCTGTCGTCGTGATCGGGCTTAGTGGCAACTGCTGCGTGGGGCCATTCCAAATCCATTTGCTGCAGCAAATTGCACTCACAAGTGGGAGCTCTTAAGCCGCTTACCGTCAACCACCGGGGAGCCACCGAGTTCACAGGAACTCGGGGATATACTATCTGTTCGAGAGCTCTGCGAACCCCATTAATGGCGCATATGGAAACTGATTGTAGATAAATAATGAATTGTTTGAATAGCCGATTAATGAAGAGAGAACAAGTTGTGCGGCTTAGGAGGTGAATGAAGACAGAGAGAACGATTGGATAAAGGAGACCAAAACACTTTATTTATTAGTTCATTTAGAGCAATGTCTCTCTGAAGTTCCCAATGGCGACACAATCCCTCCTTTCCTCAATTCGATTGAAGCATCCAAATATCTTTTTTGTTTGCTTTTTGTGCATTTTCTGGTGCCCACTTGCTGGAATTCCACCTTTGGAATTCTAATTTTTTCGTACATTCCCAAGCACACCCGAAAGGATAGCCGGCAAGGACATGTGCAACTATTACCAATTATTCTCTTTCGGCATTCCTACGAGTGTGCTGGAGATATTTTATGAATCGATACGTGCAAATGGCCAGGCATCCAGACGGGCACGAGTAGATATTCCTAAGGTATTCCCCATAGCCGTAAGTGTTGCCCTGCCTGATATTTCGTACGTGCACCCACAACATGAACTCATAAATATGTATTGATTTTCCATTCGTGGCTCGCACGAGCATAGAAAACGCTTGGAAATTCGTGGTGGCAGCGTGGAGCAGCAGCAACAATGGCAAGCCCAGGACAGAGTTATGATTATGGAAGTTTTTTCAGCACATAAATGGAAAATAAATGCGAGAAATTCAACGTAATTTGCGACGCCCCGTGGAGTCAGTGAACCAAAGAGATGCAGAAAGGTGCTTTATCAAATATTTATCGCACATCCCATGCCAGTCAAGCGAGGGAACTGCAAATTGCAGCGAGACATGCAAATAGGAAACAAAGAATCATGTGCCACGACTCCTCCAGAGCCCCAGCTCCACTTCAGCGCCATGAAGGATGTGTGTAATCCAAGTGAGACATGTCTACATCACGAGTTCATTAATTTGGCCCCGAATAATGCACTGCCCCTCCGTACGCAAATAGAGCGGGGAAACCCATATGTTTCTACTACATTTGCTCTGACTAATGGGCTACAGTGGGCCATGGGATGCGTTGCGTTGCTGGCTGTGGCCTCTGTGGCGTGTGTGTAATGTGCCAAAAATTGTGAAAACACTCATAACAAATTTGTTTGATGTGCGGAAATTTGTCAAAAACATTTCGCACAAAAACCAACATTGAATTTCCACTTGTGTGTGTGTGTGTGCGGTACTTTATATCTGGAATAAAAGAGAGTACGTATATTAGATCCAGATTAGACAAAGAGATTGAGCAATGAATGCTCTGAATTGTATGGCAATTACACCACAGCCATATGTCATTTATAGTTAAGTAATGGCAGATATAGTATTGTGGCTGTGCACAAAATACAGAAATGCAGCGCCAAAACCAGGGCTTCGTAACAGTTGCCAAAGGCCGGCACGGCCCGGCCCCTGACCAAGCAATTAAAACTGCCAAAAACTAATGCCACCGCAAAATGGGGCTGCCAGTTTTATGGCTGCAAACTGGCCGCAAAGCTCGCACTCGAAATGTTCAACAATGTGCCAAAATCAGCAGAAAGAAGTGGCATGAAGAGTCCATCCCCAACCTTAACCACATGCTTCTGGGTACTGGCGGCAAATTAAAAACCATCGACCATCCAGCAATGAGCATCGATGGAATGAAAATTTATTATCAACCGAGTGCCCAGCAGCTGTGGCGGCTTAAAACGGATCAAAAACTTAAAGGCCGCTAAGCCCCTGCAGGCCTAATTGTAAAGGACACTTGACATAATAAAGGTTGCCGCATCAAAAGAATATTTTTTAATATTTTAATTGGCAAAAAGGCAAATGAAAATCATTGCCAACGGGGTGGGGCTTACACAACATTAAAGTGGATAATGAACTGATGGAAAATTTATATTTTTAAAGGGCTGAAACTATTCTTTGTGTACAGTGCAAATATGCACAGAAAATAGTATAATTAAATTGTAAATCTTTCAGTCAACAGATAAGCACCTTTGAGACCACTTGCAGCCGCTTCTTATCTTTGTTTGCTTCGGATCTTATCTGTGCTGCAGCTTCCCCAGGAACTGCGCCCAGTTTCACTAGGTCTTGGAGTGTCTACCAACAAGGTCGTGATTATCGTGCCGCGAAAAGTAAATTTATTAAGCAGAAGATTCATAAATCATCAGACAGACAGGTGCCTGGCAGAATAAAAACCAAGTGAAAAGCCAAAATGGAAACTAACGCTGTTTTTGCACTTCATCCGTTCCACCAACGGACTTTTCACACAATTCGAATCTTTTACTAATTAATCCAATAACAGAACCCTCGGCAGCAGCATGGAATACTGATTGTAAACGGGCCGGGCTCTGTTTACCCGTTCAAAGAAATGTTATTTGTTTAAGTTTTTCCCAAAAAGTGCCGGCGGAAAAGGTTTCGTGTAACAACAGCTTGCCGACAATTGTTGAGCCCGGAGGTCGAAGATTTTTGTGTGCTATACTTGTGTCCCTTTTGCCATTTCATCTTGGAATAATTAAGGCAAACAGAAATGAATTTTTGCACGTGCTGCGTTCAAGAAATTGCTTTTCGTCCGCTTCATTTTTCTGGCCTTTTATGTTTTTACTGGTATATTCTTTACTCTTCTTTTCCCTGCTGCTTTGCCGCTCATTTTGTTTTTATTTTTTATTTTTAATTTACGTCTGAGTTTGTACAAGTTGCCGTTGTCGTGGGTTCTGTGTCAACAGCACAAAGGCCGCACCGCACACATCGCCAACAGTCGCCGCATAGTCCCATTCCAGTATTCCAGCTGCATGTTGCGCAATGCCATCTAAGACAATAGTTGCATGAACCTAGCATGTGCCGAGAGAGCTCCTCCTCCTCCTTTTGGAGCATTCGCAACTGCCAGCGTGCCAGTCAGCCAGTCAGCCCTTCTGCCAGTCCGGGACTTTAATATTGTTCTTTTGTTCTGCTTGAGTCCGGGAAAACAACAATAAAACGAAACGCCAAGCGGAAGAGTTTACAATTAGCTTGTTAACAATGGCCCCGGCATACTCGGTGTATGCGTGATGCGCTCCGAAAAGGAGAACAAAGCTGCAGTGCCTCTGTATCTCCGACTCTATCTGTCTATCTTTTGTTGGAGAGCATTGCAACCATGCCAGGCAGTTCATAAAAACCAGCAAACGAGCACCACTTTGTGCTGAAAGAGACCAAGCTTCAAAAATAATTATCAAATTATTTTGGTAAACTGTTCTCCGTTTTTACACAGAGTACTCACAGAGTTGAAGGGTATATTGTGCTTGTGTAAATGTAAGCAACAGCGTTTCCGTCTCGCCAAAGCATATGTCATTATCCGATGCTCGTTAAGAACCCAGGCAATACAGGGAATAAAATCGGGCCAAACCATTTTTGTGTTTTGTGTTTAAATATACTTCTAATGTCAGAAGGTTTTTTATTGCCCAGTATCTGTGCGTCGAGGCTCTTGGCTGCACTGTTCCCTTTTTTTTGTTGAAGCTTAAAATCTTTATGCATATTTCATGCTGTGCAATAAGGGGGGAAAATAGTGGAAAAAGCGCGAAACAAGCAACGGCGGGGGAAGCGAGTTGCCAGAAGTGTTGGCCTGTAATTTACCCAAGCAAAGTTGGGCGCTCGTTTGGGCGCCGCCTGACTACAAAACACTTTTACTCAATTTTGTGTGTGGGCGTGTGCCCCGTGGCACCGGCAAAGTTTCCTCATCATAAAAGGGTTAAGTGCAGAGCCCTGTATTAAAAATTGTGAAAGTTTTGTACTTAGATTTCACATAGCTTATTTTGGGCAAGTCTCACATATCACATATCAGAAAAATCAGAACTACAACACACAAATTACTACAAACATCTCCATCTGTGTGCTTAACAGTAGATACACGTTTGCAAATTGTAGAGATACTAAAAAAACCCCCATACAAAATGCCTAAATTCTAACAGATTCGCGAAACTTTCTATATAAACGTGCGAATGGCGGGATGGCTGCTCATTTCATGTTTGAAATCCCACCGAAATCGAGCCACAAGTTGTCGCGTTCCCGTTGCTGCTTCCGTGTCGCCTGAGTGAATCGTGGAACCAGCGAAGCGAGGAGTCCAGCTCAATAATTAATAATTGGTTGTGATCTGAATAAACGTGTGGAAAAATATTTGGTGGAGGTTGAACAAATAACAAAATAACAAATTACATAAAGAATTATCAGATTGACATTCAGCAATTTGGCTTTGGCAATGAATGTGAATGAAAGCGGGTGATTCTGACTATTTCAATTGAATATAAACCTTGCAAAAATGGTGCAGAAGGCCACACTGGCGCAACTTAAGAGTCTGCAATGGGGACGTCTCTTCAATATGTTCTACATAGAGCCGGTTGTCTTTATGCTCATCTTCTCGCATGTGCTGTCGGGTGAGCTGCATATGACTATGCTTAGCAGATCGTTGAGTACAATTCAACCCCACCTCAGGTACAATCATGCGCAATCAGCTGATCTACCAGACCTGTACAGTGATCTTTCAGTACAACGAGACGGACTGCAAGCTCTTGGATAGCAAAAACACCTCCACAGAGACACAAGTGAGCGAAATACCCAAGAATTGATATACAATTAGTTTGCTCATTGTTATAGGCCATCGAAACAGAGCTGCAATCGTATGTGGCCAACATGTTCCTGATCCGCACCCTCTTCGAGAGCATTGTACCGGCAATCTGTGGACTCTTTATAGGCTCCTGGTCGGATCACTATGGACGCAAGCCCCTGCTGATGGTATCCATGATTGGCTTTTCAGCCTCTTCCCTGGTTTCGTCCATTATTTGCTGGATGTCCAGCTACTATATGGTCAATCCCTGGTGGTACACTGTGGCCGCGGTGCCCCACTCCATGCTTGGAGGTCTGTGCGTGTTCTCGGTTGCCGCCTCCTGCTTCATATCGGACACAACGGATGTTAAAACCAGGCCTTATAGGTGGATACCACATTGCCGCAATAGAGGGCCAGAGGGTTTCTAATGTGTTATGTCCTTGTTTACAGAATGATGTTCATGGAGCTGATTCTCTTTGTGGCCCTCACTAGTGGCTCGCTGCTCTCCGGCTTTGTCTATGCGGCCACTAGTGCGGCCTTCGTGCAGAGTCTCTCCTGCTTGATGATCGTCTTGGCCACACTCTTCATAGTGTTGTATCTGCCCGAGAGCTTGGGCATGCGGCAGGATGATGAGGATATACCAGAGAGGCAAAAGGATGCGGCTGTGACCATCACCATCTCTGACCAGCAGCTGAATGTATCCGAGAAGTCTGAAAAGCTTGCTGAGAAACCCTCCCAGCTGGAGGAGAGTGCACCTGGTTTATTCAGTCTAAAACACGTCAGAGGTATGTTCAGTACTTGCTTCAAGCGGAGGGAGAATAATGCCCACTCCATCATCTGGCTGGTGACTTTTGCTGGCTTTGTCTCCATCTTTGTCGGCGGTAAGTGTTTCCCTTACAACTGACTACATCTATGATTGATACGCTGTCTCCCTCCGCAGACGGCGTGATGACTGTGATGTATCTGTATGTGCGTCAGCAGTTTCACATGACTGTGCGCGAGTACACCATCTTCGAGACAGTCAGTCAATCGGTGCCCATGATAGGAGCGCTCCTTGGCTTTCTTATTTTAAAAAAGGTAAAGGATTTGCCCAGTAATCCCCTAGGTATTGACTCTTCTTCTTCCAGATATTCGGTCTATCTGTGGTTGCGTTGGCCCTGCTCTCTCTCGTCTCGGAGATACTCAGCAGCCTGGCCAAGGGCTTTGCCTTCCTATCCTGGCACTTGTATCTGTCGGTGGCTCTCGGAGTATTTCGCTCTATTCAGGGCCCCATGTGTCGCACCATAGTGTCCAATATAGTGCCAGCTTCTGATACGGGTATGAGTATGATAAAGTATGGAGTATGATATGCCGCGTGAGTTCGAAAACTGTGATTACAAATGATTGCAGGTAAACTTTTTGCAATTGGCAACATTGTGCAATCGCTTGCACCATTTGGTGAGTGACTTTGCCATTAAACGTTTCCCCTATCCATCATAATTTGACTGCAGTGGCCGCACCCCTGTACACGGCCATCTACAAGGGCTCCCTGGCCAGCCACCCGGGAGGATTCAACTTCCTCAGCGCGGCGCTCTACTTAATATCGTTTATTCTGATTGGGTGAGTGTGATTGGAAAACTGGTCAGCCGCTTGAATCATTTTGCATAAATTAATTGCAGCTGTGTTCTGAGAATTAAGTTCAAGCACCGAACATTCTATGCCAAGTTGCTGAAGTAGTCAGAGCAAGCCGAATGCCTCCCCCCATCAATATTGATTGAGGTCGAGTTTGTCAACTTTACATAGCTTTCAAGTCGACAACTTTCCAAGGAGCACATTGAATAAATACAACTATTAAAAGTGTTAATTTCTTCCCTTCACTGGAGGCATTTGAGTCACAATGGGAAATTCTAACCCACAATCAAATCGTGTGGCAGACTCAAATTCCAAGATGAAATCCAAATAGTGAGGTTCAAGTGTTTGATTTGACATCAATTGGCAGAAGTATCTCGTTGCATGAATTCTGAATGGAAATGTATCTAATTGTTGTCAGAGTGGTCCTGTCGCACTGCTAGTCCTGTTAGTCCTGCCAGTTGCTTGTTGTTTTCAATGATGTTCGGTAAGGCCATGCATAACCCATGAGCGTTTAATAGTGCATAATTTATGTGGCAAAAGTTTGCGTAACATGCGAGTATCCGAAAGTTCAAACGCCAAATCATTTGGATCCGTTTGGACTCATTCGTTGTGACTTTGGCACGTACCAAATGAATTTGTAATGCTGCTGGTGGTAGTGCCAAAAGTTCAGAGCACAATTTGTGGCAATTTGAATTGTTGAACGTCAACTCTCCGATTAAATAATTCATTGCAACTATAATATGCGCACTAAGGTGGCCTCCGCCCTCCCTCTCATACGTGGGACAACATTATAAAGGGACTCTCTATGGTATCAGTATCGTGTTACCTCGAACAATGCCAAGGAACAAAAGCGCTGACCCGAAACTGACTCATCAAATCACTGCTGATGGCTATGGCTGGTCCTGGTCCTGCTCCTGCTCCTGTGGCATGTGGCCAGACATTTGTCGAGCGGCATTAAAGTTGAGAGCGCTTTAAGAGCACAGAGCGCGTGCAGCAAATAAACGCATTGAGACGAAGCCAAATGCGAGGCGACACTTCGCAGGGCATGAACTGTTGTTGCGCTCCGCCTCCTGCACTTGCACTTGACTGCTAATGGTGCGAGAGTAGGTGGGTGGATACCCCTTAATTTGCCCGACTAAGGGTACAACGTTCAACTGACAGAAGGTGGGAGGAAACAGTCGTAAAGACCTCTACGTAAAGGTAAACAAATGCCATGCCGATGACAATCAGAGTTTTTCCTGGGCCGGGAGGTCTGCTCCGGCTGAATACCATTTGCGAGTACCAGGTATCCTCGAGTCTAGATATCTTCAGCACCCTTCGTTCCTGCTTTGTTTGCGTAGGAAAGCGTTAACCATAAAGTGGAAACTTTGCTGCGGATGCATGTGTTGCCAGCAGTTAAGTTGAATGGCGTTCGGGTGCGTGTCGTGGGGCATTTCCGCTTCCACAGAGTCACAGAACCCGACGTCGCCGTCGCCGTCGCCGTCACCGTCTAATTGAGCAGCGCAGCCCGATAAGATGCATATAAAACTTTAAACACTGTCTGTCTGCGAAATGAGGGACAACTATGTTGTATCCGGTTCCGGTTTTGCATGATTGATAGGCATTTTAGAGGCTCCGGATCGGACTGACAGCTGGCTTCAATCGGGCGTATTACGGTGACGGGGGTTATGTCAACACGGCGCATACGTAATCAAATATTAAACAAAACAAATTATGAGCTGCCAGCGGACGCAGACCCACAACATGCAACTGTTGACGAAGGTCAAGTTTAGCGTTTACCCAGCCCCAAGGGGCGGGTGGGACACAAAGTGAGCAGTCCACGACGTAAGGCCTTACGTTACGGGGAGAGCCCAAAGCAGAAAACTCTCACTCTCTCTCAACACTCACTTTCTCTGTGGGAGAGAGAGAGAGCTATAAAATGCGAGTCCCGAGGCGGGTTCCCGTCAGTTGGCTGAAGACATCGACACAACACGGTCGTCAGCAGTGCTCGGCAATCGCTCCTCGTGAGTTCTCGTCCTGGTCGTTGTCGTCGTCGCTTATCGTGTCCGAGGTAGCACAGTGTCTATATTTCGCTTATCAGCGAAATGCCGTCGGTGCGGCATTGTCCATAGCATACTTCTCCGCGTTGCCACATATCAAAGAAAACACTAAAAATATTGAAAATGTTTTGGATTCTACGCCGCACGGGCGCCGCCAACTTCTTCAACTCCCTCAACAACAACTGCAGCTTCTCCAGGAACAATTCGAACGGAGGTAACCACAGCAACAGCACACAAGGTAAATCGCTGATGGACAGCAATTAGTTTGCTGCAGGAGTCCGCCATTAATTAGGATGATTAATCAATTATTGGTTTCGTCGGTAATTAATATAATTGCGGCTCAAACTTTTGGATTGGATGGATGCAAAGATTATAATAATTATCAATGGAATGCAAGTTTTCGAAAGCATAAACAGATTCTTGTGCAGCCTCCAGAAAGGATTGTTAAGGGAAGTTTCATCGAGGAAGTTTATGCAAAAGGGTAAAAGAAAGGGAAAAGATCTGGGGCTGAACTATGTACACGGGAGTGGCAGACAATTATTTTGTTGGCATCTTTAAATTTCATCCATGAGAAATACGAAAAAAATAACAGCAAATATAAGTACATTTGTTGTCATCAGATTATCTGCAGCTCAGATTGAGCCTCGTGCCAAATTCTTAATGAAAGTTTAAGAGCCTTAAAGGTATTTGCTTTAAATGCAAATCATGTTCCAGCTAAATCCCGGCTTCCATTCGTAAGCCCAACTCAGACTCGTTATCAGAACAAGTTAATTAAAATTCTCGAAATGACTTGTGGAACCCTGGCACATATGTACGAGTATATGGCACAGGCACTCGCACTCGTATTGTTTTCCTTTATCGCTAGCGAATGGTGCTTCACCAGAGAATATCTAGGGGTAACACAAAAAGTGGGGGTAACACCAAAGTAAAGTAAATAAAATTGGGGAGATCCTAGAAACCTACGCAATAATGAGCCTCCGCACGTGTCAGAACCTAAACGTGGCACGGATGTGACTGTCGGAAAATAAAACACTTTGGGCTTTCGGTCCCCAGATGCTATTGTCTAGGCGCTAAATCTCACACCCACACAGGATATAGGGAGTAGATAGAAAGAGGCATCCCGGAGGCAAGTCATCCACATTTTTGGTTGATTTTTGTTGCTTTGTTCGATTTTTCCTGCATTGTCTGCGCAGTGTCCGATCAAACATAAAATCCCCCACGGCTTATAGCGCCCAGAAATCTCTCAATTTGTATATCCGGCCAATACACATACTCGTCTGTGCATATCAATTTGTTGGTGCACGTGGAACAAATTAAAAGCAAACACGGCCAAATGGCAATTAAAATTTTAGCCACAATTTGAAATAGTTTCACCAACATTCCTGGCTCGGGGCAGGCAATCTGCTTTCCATAATTTTAGCCAGACTGCATTTGTTTTAGTTTTTCAATTAATTAGTCGATTAGTTAAAGGATTTTAAAAGCGGATTAGCTGAGTTGCTGTTAAATCCATTCGAAGCCCTGCTGATTGCTTGTTGAAATCTCCCCAAAGGCAGCTGTGCCGTATGCTCAAAGCTCTACCTTAAAGGCTTCGGCTGAATATTATTTACAGCTCTATAGAGCAGAGCCGTGAAGTAAACTATTACTATTCCCTGAAGAAATTACTGAAACCATTTACTTCGTCAAAGAAATTCACTGATTTCAAATTAAATTAAAGTATTTTTAAAAATTTCGTTTCCAATAATTGTTAACCTTTCCGCACATTCAAAATGGCCATTATTCACTTTACAAGTCCGCCAACATTTTGCGCCATTAATGGCAATGCACAAATTGTTATTTTTTCGAACGCTTTCGCCAAATGGGAAATTTAATCAGAAAAATTACATTTACCAAGTTGAACAAATGCCAACAACATGTAGGGCGGCAGACGCGCCCTTAAGCTTTTGTCAACATACAATGTAAATTGTCCTCACACATCCTCAACATGAGCAGAAGGAGACAGGACAGGGTGGGGGTGAATGAAACTTGTAAATCTGTTATGCAAATGCTGGAGCAACATATGGCAGCAGCATTAACCGATAATTATGACAGCCATTTGTCATTGATAATAATGCGTTTGTCCATTCAATTTGTGAAAACTGCTGCGAGGCGAGGCGAGAGGAGAAGGAGAAGCGAGCGAAATTGTAAAACAAGCAACGGCAATTAGTATGTGTGTGTGTGTGCCTGCGTGTGTTTGCATATCTATGTGTATCCAATTAGCTGTGGTTACAGCAAAATGTTTACTTTGTTTTTTTGTAATTTTATACTCTTGCAGAGGGTGTTACGATATTGAGCAAATATTTGCAATGAACAGAAAAAAGAAGTTAACTATGCAAAGCGGACAAGATCATATAGTCATTGCCATTCTCATAGGAATGAAAGATCTTCCGGGGATGCAAGTCTACGGCTCTTGAAGCTCTCGCTGTGTTGGCTTTCCCTGTTCATTGGCGCTCTCTCTTTGGCTGCAGGCATCATTAGCTCTGGGTGCTCGTCTCCCAGACAACCGAAATGATAGCAACAACAACAACAAGAACATATTATAAATTATGGTTGGCATTTTCTTGTTCTCTGTAAATATGTATCTTGGGTCTCAGCAGGAGAAGAATTATTAGGCATTTATCTGGCGTATTAATAACGCTGGCCCCCCTGTCTGTTGTTTGGGCCATGATTTATATTTTGTTGCCGGCGGGCGGCATCATTTGTAATAATTTGTGCTGTAATTCTAAAGCAAAATCGAGAGAAACTTTTATCTCGGCGAGATTACAGTCCACTGTGGATTTTCTTGCTAAACTTTAAGGCGTCCTCTTCCGTTCCGTTCTGTTCCGTTCACTCGCATTTTGTGTCATAAATTTTCATCGCAAACACACACTCCGTCCCAGACCAGACAGCGCGGTAAACATTGCTTTTAAGGTCTGCAACATACGTTTTGGCACCCCGACTCTGGTGGGATTCGGGATGGGATGGTAGTGCACAATTTGACGATAAAATTGAGTTTCACTCAGCGCCATCTCCATCCTTGCCTCTCTGCATCCCAACCGCGTCCATGCGGTCTTTTTTGTTTGGGTTTCTGCTGGTCACACTTTTAATATTCGTGCTCGCTCCTTGGTCGGGGAGCAAACACAACTGGAACGGACAACAAGCGAACCACTAAACGATGTTTGCAAAGGATTCGCCGTGGAGTTTATATTCGTTCGGTTTCTCATTAGGAACCATTCTCAAAGTAGATTTCGATTCTTTACAACTATTTAAACACTTGTGCTTTGGTTTACTTAAACACAATTGGGCTTTACCAAGAAATGGGAATTTCGTGTCGTCACGTATACGCATTGTTGAACCCGATTGCAATGCCAAGCAGCAGCGAGTCAAGCCCACATAATGAGCTGCTAATGAGACCTCGAATGGCCAACTGGTCATAAAAATCCAACACACTCGTGCCATTAATTTTTGGGCCGTAAATGAAAGGTTTATAGTATTCTAGAGTCAGGAAACTATTTACGGTACTTTCCCCTCCAATCACACACAATACCCACAATAAATCGCATTTTATCACTTCACGGCTTTCGAGGAAAGGCAGGCAGAGAATGAATGGGGCAAAGGAGAAACATTTTTGTTCCAGTGACAAGCGAAGGCCACACAAAGGCCTCCATAAATTGTCAGCTGCATTGAGGAGCATTTCCCAATTCCCCATATGTGGCAAAGACAAAGAAAGTGGCGCAGAAAAGTAGACAATTTAAGAGGAGACACGGCAAGTTTTATCAATATCCTCCAGTCATGAATTTTCTCCCCTTATTTTATGGCAGACAAATATGTGAAGCGTCCCCCACGGAAGGCATACGGACGACTCAGTGCCGAGGCCGACGATGTCGTGTCAATGGGCCACAAAATCGATGATCCGTTCGATGAGCTAGACGACTTTGAAATGCTTGGAGGAAACTCCAGTGCCGGCTGCAGCAGCCATGCCAACAATGGCAATGGAGAGCCACCAGGTGAAGCCAATGCCAACGTCAATGTCAACGCGAATGGGAATGGGAATGGCAGTCTGTCACTTTTAGCTTGCACGGACGCCGATTGTCAGGGCAACTTTGTGGTGGAGAGCGCCCTGTGCGAGCTGGGGCTGTGCCACGCCAAAGGAAAAACATCAAAGGAGCTGGCCGCTGCTGCTGCTGGGGGCACATCCACATCGAAGGAGATTAACGAAAACACAATAAGTCGACTGCATGCCCTGGCCATGGCTGACGATGACGATGACTACGGTGAGTGCTGGGTCCGTGTGGCATAATGGCCAACCGATGAGCCAGAGTAGAGAGAGTGCACAGAGAGAGAGTCAATTTCAATCCCTTCCACTTTCAGATGAGTCGCTTACCTGCAACGTGTGCGACCGGGCTTTCCATTGTCACCGTCAACTTGCATCGCACCAGCAGAAGAAACGTCACTTTGGGTAAGGGGAAATGCACTTAATTAAGCCAGCTAACGATGACGCTGACGTTCTCACTTTTCGTTCTCTTGTTTTGCACGGCTTTGTATCTGCTCCACAGTTGCAGTGGCTGCGACAGTTTGTTTCCCTCGCTAATGCTGCTGGAGCACCACAAGGAGGAGTTCGAGCACTGGAGCGATGAGGAGATGGGACGACGCGTCTGCTGTCGACGCAATCGATGCGACGATGATTACTTCACAGACACCGACTCCTTCATCAGCGATGCGGAGAGCGAGGATCTGGAGAGGCTGTTGTAGGGCGTGCCACGGACAAAAAGCAGCCAAGCCCCTGAGGCGACTGTGATGGTGGGTGGCTGGAGGGCAGACAGTGGCATTGACAGAGGTAAACTAAATTTAAATTAGTCTCCTCCGGATGGGGCCGTGCCCCAATGCTACGTAGACGGAGAGGCTTACTTACGGTGGCGTCCAGCGGCGACGCAAGAATGGATGGACAATCGGCTGGCTCAGGCTCAGGCTCTGGCCCTGTTGGATAATGAAGATTGACGCTGGGGCGGACCCAGGGTTGGGCTTGTCGCCCTAATGAAAATGAATTAAACCCCAATCTGGCAAAACAATGAGAGACGTTGGCAAAAACCAAAGAAAACAAACATAAATTACTTTTAGACTGTGTTGTCGCTAAATGAAACCCCAAACATTGAAGCAAACTCACGAGAGAGCATATTGTATTTTTAGAGTTCAACTACGAGACCCTTAGACAGGGTCTAAAAACCAAGTTATAGTACATAAATTTAAATATAAATATAAACATAAATATATGTATGTATATGGGTATATCTTTGTGTGTGTACGACGAGTATTATGAGCTAGTCGAATACGAAAATCCATAAATGGAAATCATATCATAAAATGCATATGTCTAAACCCCTTCCCCGTCCCCCTCCACAACCCCAAAAACCGCGAAATGCAAACCTATTTACGACGAAGAAATGAAACCAAAACGTATTTTTCAATAAATAAAACTGTGTAAATCGAAATCGAAAACGAAAACATTTCTGCAATCTCGTTTCCCTCATTAAGAATCGCATGAATTATTACAAATGATTGCCAGACACTTAAGGAAAATGGCCAACAATTAAAATTTCAGATTCAGATTCCGCTGCCAGCGCCCCAAGTATGCAACAATCTACACCACCCACCGACACACACACACAAACACACAGAGTGTAAGACGGACAAATACAACACCCCGAGAATAATGCCCCGTGGACATTTCTTAAATTATTCAGCGGGTGGGGGGTGGCTTTATTGTGGCATCATTAAAACTTGATTGACTTGGCGATGAGCGTATAAAGTGGGCGGTGGGCGGGCGGCACGGGGCTGAAATCACCGCTAGGCTCTTAAGGAGCGAAAAACTCTTGCGCCCGACCTCAAGGCCAGCTAAATTATTTCCGCCGCAAAAGTTCAATGTTAACCCTGAAACTTCTATGGATAATTCTATACATTCTTCCAAGTATTTTCCGAGGCTGGTCGAGAATCTTAATGGAATTTGAGAAAAGTTTGCATGCCCACACTCCTTTGATATGTTGGCAGCAGCACCAGCTGATAAATCAGCTTTCAGTAATCAGTAAATGTTAAATAATCTGATTATTTATTCACAAATATTGAACAATTCTCTTCCTTTAATGCCGCTGTACAAAACAATCATGCAATACATGCATACATATGTATGTACATACATTTTACTTAGCCATTTCACACATTGAAATCCCTAGCCGCTTTCGGACTTAAATCATTAAATTAATTACTTCAGCTCCTAAGCCAATTTGGAACTTTAATTTTGCTAAGCTTTTCATCAGGTCAGTTTAAAAGGTTTTTGTTTTATACTTAAATTGTGTGTGATAATTGGGTCGAGCTATGGCTTGAAACAAGTCTCCTAAGCCCTCTTGCATTTACATAGATTAAGTGAAAGAGAATTGTATATTTTTGTGATTTTTGATGATGACTTATGCCGGAAGAGAAACTCACCAACGGAAGATGAATGATGTTGGTAGGGGGTAGGGGGACAGTCGGGACAGCAAAGATGTATTTTCCCTTACAGATAAGTAAATTCATTTCTTATGCTCGACCAGAGCGGTAAATGAAGTGGAGTCGAGACGTGGCCTTGGGATATTCATGGCAGGCACGTAAAACGGATTAGGAGAAACTTTTCCCAGGCGCCAGGCGTAAATCCTGGACTGGCATTCATTTGCCCATTTCCCGACTGCAGCCTGATCTGATTGATGCTCCTGTGAAATCAAAAGACGGGGCGGAGGCGGGATCGGGACTGGTATGCAAACAAAAGTACGTAATGTTTTAGGGATGCTTGGTCGAGGATATGGATCCATATGGTCAGCCAACCCTGTGTTTGTATTATTTTCAGTGTTTGGGTGTGTGTGTGTGTTCATTTGACATTTTGATGGATGCAAAGGCATAAAAGGCTCTCCTCTTGCTGACCAACAGAGCTCTACATTCCACTCCACTCCTGTCTTGTATAAGCATTAAATTTTGATTTGATTTTATTACGGCACTCGTAAACATTTTATGTGTACATCATACGCACTGTTGGCCAGCCAGCCAGCCAGCCAGCCATTTACATAAAAGCCAACAGATATACATACGCATGGACAAAAACCACAGAGCAGCGAAATGTTTGTGTGGCTTCATATTAAAAGTCGCTTCCAGGGGCCAGTCGAGAGCACAAATTTACATAAAGCATTAAGTGTACTTTTAGCAGATGGTTCCCCGGATCCTAGGTACGGCAAATGGACAAGGGCATGAACCCGACCTTGGACATGCCACAAATTGCATCGAATTGATTAGTGCAGCAGGAGTAGGAGAGGCTATGCAGCATTAAAATTTCATTCTCCGCAAGTCCTCTTAAAATGCATTAAGGCCTGTCAAAAGAAACAGAAAAGCTATCTGGCTGCCCGCCTGCATTACCATCCAAAATGCAGAGAGGCAACGGCGAAGGTGAAGGCGGCTCTGCAGAGCTCTGGTTGGGAGCCACTTTTTTTTTGTTGCATGCCAATCAGGGCAATTTGTTACGTGGCAAATTGAGTTTGAGCTGGAAAGCAGTCTAAGCTCTTTTGCGTGCCTTGCAAGGACGAGTAGCAAGGCAGCCATTAGCTAATTAAGACGCTCCAAGCGGCTTTCATACGCCGCCCACCCAACCACACCCCCCACACAAACACACACATTGCAAGAAACCGCAGACAAAAGACTTTCGAGGCGCCACAAGCGACAACAAAAAGCAGAATTGTGGCAGGCACCAAATTTCACACATTACAAAACTTTGTAGAGCCAAAAAAAAAATATAGAAATTAAGGCGAAACTATAAAAGATAGAGGAACGAAAAGTTTCTCTCTCATTAAATGGGAAGACGTATTCCTGGAATTTTTGGGAGAAAAGAGAAGGATACGTTTTGGGAGAAATTATCCCTGGGGGTGCATTAAATTTGCTCTCCAAATTCAGCTTAAACTAACTAACTAGCCTAGCTGTTATTTCCAAAAATTGTAGTTGATATAATTGAAAGGAAAACATTCCGGGAAATCAGATCAGTAGTTTATTGAGGGAAACTCTTTTAATTATCTTTCGTTTTGTAGTTGTAGACTTGCGGGTATAGTTTATACTTTTCAGAAGAACAAAAGTTTCACACTAAGCACACATCCCCAAGCACTACCAACTCATTCACATAGCCAAAGTACATTTTCCACGAACTTCATCCGGCTGTTGCCTATGCAATTTCCAAGGCTCTTGTCTAAAATCAAAGGCAACCACAAAGATTTCCACAAATCGTGGCTATTTTTAGGCTCTAATTTATGTTGCCGCTGCCACGCCCCAGCGCCTCGTAAAGTCAATTAAAAACTGCTGACTGTCAGCGCCGTTTGGTGGAGCATATTGGGATTGGGTATGCTCGTACTCGTATGATAATTGTTGGCGCAAAGCAGGAAGAGCGACACATTGGGTTAATTAAAACTTGGAAACTTGTTCACTACGGAAAGAAAGGAAAGAGTGGATAGGAGTGGAGTGGAGTGGAGTGTAGGATGAAAAGGTAATTTCAATTTCCTTTCACACATCTGTAGGCCTCAGGGGGTTAGTTGTGTCGTTGCTAATCAGCCATGTGAGTGAGTGAGTGAGTGGATGTGTGTGTGGGAGATATACTCAGTTATATGTAGCATAGACCGCCCCCCTATCCACCTGCCTCTTGCTATCCATGAATGTAAAATGTAGACGTGTTCATAAAAAGTTTCCTCAGTGTTCGTTCACACATACAAGTTCATGGGGGTATGGGCATCCATGTGTGTATCTAACTGTAATGTCTGATAATTGAAAACAAGCTGGCAGATACCCATACCCGCAGATGGGGGAGCTCGTATCGTGGCAAAGAAGCTGCCAAAGTAGCAACTGCAAGTGGCTCAAGAGCCCAACACGATTCCTCCCCCTTCTGTTGATAGTTGTATCTACATTCCACAGCTCCGGGACTCAGAGGAGCCTCTATTAATGGCAGAGCTGTGTACATTAAAGTTGTCCTTCAGCTTCGTTGATAGTTGCGCTTTGGATGGAATTGGGTCTTCAACGGAGCAAATATTAGCTGTGAGCACAGCTCAACGGAGATAGAATATTGACAAATATTTGATTTACTTAAGGAAGCACTTGGCACAGCACCGAAGGATGAACACCTACCTGACAACCTTTGTGGGAGGGGAGTGGAGTGGAGTGCCCTGCCAGATGGATACACTGCACAAATTCCGAATGCTGGAAGTGCTTCGCTCTCTATTTTGGAGACGATTTCTTCCGCATTTTTTTGACATTTTTTTCATAATTTTAAAACCTATTTTGTAGACCAAATAAAACTTAAGGATAGTTATTTTTTTTATATGCGTATAAAAAATGGGAAACGTTAGGTTAAGTCTTCATTGTGGATCTCTCTCTTAGCTTTGACTAGGAATACTAGCCCATTTTCACTTTACCGCACGAATTTTTAATTCAATTTATTCGACAATTTATTTTTAGGTAATGTTCCACCATGTCGGCAGGGAGCCTGACGACATTTGTCACGTCGTTGTACAGCCGCAGAGAGAGCATATTTTGTCATGTCAGATGACATTTATCACAGCAGCAGCAGCAGCAACAAAAATATCCGGAGCATCCACACCAGACGCAAGAGTATCAAGGGGGGAGGAGAATCAGGAGCAGCAAAAAAAAAAGTATTGACAAATATCAATTTGATGCAGTGGCAAGCGTTTTTCGTCTACTGGCAATATGATAAGCAGCATTTGGCTGACGCTGATTGATGACAGAATTGCGCGGGCGTCAGTCCAAAAGTGAATTTTAGCTCCCTCTTGCTCCCTGTCTCTCCACCTCTCACTGCAACATAAAAAAAAACGGCGTTCCCTCTCTAAAATTCTTTGATTGATGTGTAAATTGATGTACTCATTAAATCAGTGCGCTAACATATTGTGTGCCGTGCCCCTATTTTCAGGCATGAAACAACTAAATGTCATCCGGCGTCTAGGCCAATCCCAATTAGATTTGCTGATTAGTTTTAGTTGCATAATGGTCTGCAGGCCGGGCCACATGAGGTGAGAATATGTACAGTATGCAGCGACGCGAAGGGTCTGTGCAAAGTTTCCGAAAAATAGCTTCATAATAAGAACTAGGATGGATGGCCATCCACACACCCGATGCATTCTTGAAGCTCCTCTCGTCACAGGGAACGATTAAATTACAATTCTACGGGTATAAAAGAACAATACGGTACTCGGCTTATTCATTCAGCTTCATCATGATGGGTAGGAGACCCACACACCAGCAAAGCTCTCGCCATTACTCTAACCAATCCTCTGATCTGTCCCTCTCCCCAGCATCCATGTACGCGCTCACCGTTCTGCTCTTTTTGGGATCTCCTCACTACAGTTCCGCAGGCGACAGCATGTTTGCCTTAAAGCTGTTCGGAGAGCTGGCCAAGGCAAATTCTCTTCAGAATATCGTATTCTCACCGTCGTCAATCAGAACAGCGCTTGCCATGGCCTACATGGGCTCCGAAGGCACCACTGAGGAGGAGCTAAAGAAGACCCTTTCACTGGAAGGAGCCGACAAGAACGAGGTGGCCCAAGGATTTGCTCAGCTTTTGGCTAAGGGACAAAACCCGATTATTCCCGAGGGAAGGTTTCAATCTCAGTTCAGCTATGCCAACCGTATCTACGTGGCCGAAAAGTTCGTGCTTGATCAGGCCTATCAAGGATTGGTGGGTAAATACTTCAACGCACCCGCCGAGAATGTAAATTTCGGAGACAGCGTGAAAGTGTCCCAGAAAATCAATTCCTGGGTGGAAGAGAAGACCCATCATCTAATCAAAGACCTCGTTAGCCCCGACTCACTCACCCCTGACACTGCCGCCATTCTGATCAATGCGATCTATTTCAATGCCCATTGGGTAAAGGATTTCATTGAGTCCAATACGAAGCTACAAGACTTTGTGTCCTACGATGGGGTGAGGGTGAAGACGAGCACCATGTATCAGAGGGAGTTTTTTAGGTACGCCGAGTTGCCCTCTCTGAAGGCCAAGGCATTAGAAATGACCTACGAAAACACAAACATTGTGTTTCTTATCATTCTGCCTTTAGAGGAGCAGGGACTGAGTGCACTCGAGGAGAAGCTTAGTGGAGTGGACCTGAACGAGATTAGTTCGCAGTTGAAATCAGAGCTCGTGCAGGTACAGCTGCCCAAATTCAAGCTAGAGTTCGATGTCTCCCTGGTGCCAGTCCTGAGGAAGGTGACTATGTGATGGAGGGGCAGCTGGACTGCGGTTAATTAACCGATTGATAATTCATTCAGCTGGGTCTAGAGACCATGTTCAGTGACAGAGCCAATTTTAAAAGCCTTGCCCAGGGCCCTAACTTGAAGATCTCTGATGTGGTGCACAAGGCCTTTATCGATGTGAACGAGCAAGGAACCACTGCCGCTGCCGCCACCAGTGAGTCGAACCCAGTAACGATTTGAGAACTTTAGTGACTGACGTCTATTCATGGCAGCTGTGAAGATGGTGGTAAAATCGAGCTGGTTATATGACGGGCCGACATATAATTTCATCGTTGATCATCCCTTTTTTTTCGCCATCAAAGACGAGCAGAGCACCTTCTTTCTGGGTCACGTTACCCGGCCAAATTAGTAACAGCTTAATAGTATTTTTAACTGCAGCTGTGGATCCATGCACTTATATATAGATTTGTAGTGTGACCGCTTGCGTAAGCTGTTAATAAATATCATCTTAGTCGCAAGAAGATTTGCTGATTAGTTTCAGTTGCATAAAGCTCTGCGAGCCTGGCAATGTGACGAGGGAATATATAGGGGAAGGGCACTTGAACAGTAAGCGAATGCTACTGATCTGAGTATTGTCAGTCATATTAGTTTTTGTGCTTATAATGAGCAAAAACCGGATTTGGTTTAGAAGCTGTGAGCATAATAAAAATGATTCGAAAAAAAACGAGAAGGAACGTGTGAGTCGCGACTCTACTTATACCTGTACTCAGTCAGTATATACATATTTTAGCTTATGATTTCTTAAAATTTTAAAATTAAACAAAAAAATTTTACATTTTACATTTTTTTGCTACATTTGCATCTACATCTAACATATACTAACATGTAGATTACACATGTACCATTTAGATTCTATAACACCTCCACTAGAGGGCGCTCGCGTACATGACGAGGCAGTGTGTGCGAGCGAGAAAGAGAATGAATAGCGGATCTCTGTCTGAAGTAGGCGGGGGAAGCAACCGAAAATTAATTTCTTCATTCTGTCAATAATTATAATCCGATCTGATTCAGATTCGGCAATCTGGTAGATATGGTCATTCTCTACGATACTGCGCTTTCAGTTTGATCGTATCTTTAAAAATGTGCCTGCCACAGATTTTCGTTCTTTGTGTGGGCGAAATTTTGTCATACACTTGTAGCAGTGTGATATCACATGAGTCTGGAAACCAAATTTGGTTGCCCTAGCTCTTATAGTCTCTGAGATCCAGCCGACCAACAAGACGAACAGACGGACAGACGGACAGACAGACATAGCTCTATCGACTCGGCTATTGATGCTGATCAAGAATATATATACTTTATGGGGTCGGAAACGTTTCCTTCTCTGCGTTACACACATCCACTTTTACCACAAATCTAATATACCCCTTAACACTTTTTTGAGTACGGGTATAAAAATTATTTGTTTTATTTTTTGAGTGCTATGAGTACATTGAAAAGTCTCATTTTTGTTTGTGCTTTATGCCAGTAAAGGCTCCTAAAATAAAAAAAAAACTTTTATTTTCTCTGTATTTGTGGTGACTCCCTTTCATATTTTTTTTCATTTAAAGTGAATTTATGTACACAACACGGTACAACTTAATTTCGAAAAATTATCACTTCACCACATGTTTAATAACCATTTTTTATACGAAGGAATCAAATTAGTTTTTTTCGCTGACAGTTACCTAAGACATCTAGCTTTAAATTGGTACTTACACATATGTTTGTATGAAACTGTGTCTACACCCATTGCCCTTCCTCTACTACTTATGAAGCGATGCGAAGGGTCTGTGCTAGATTGCAAAGAGACAGGATAAGGCTAAGAATTGCTCCGTTCTCTGCGTTGGAAATTATCAATCAAATTTTACAAAATAAAGATTTAGATTCAGAGACGAACCCACCCACCCTATGCATTCTTGAAGCTCCTCTCGTCACAGAGAACGATTAAATTACAATTCTACGGGTATAAAAGAACAATACGGTACTCGGCTTATTCATTCAGCTTCATCATGATGGGTAGGAGACCCACACACCAGCAAAGCTCTCGCCATTACTCTAACCAATCCTCTGATCTGTCCCTCTCCCCAGCATCCATGTACGCGCTCACCGTTCTGCTCTTTTTGGTATCTCCTCTCTACAGTTCCGCAGGCGACAGCATGTTTGCCTTAAAGCTGTTCGGAGAGCTGGCCAAGGCTAATTCAGAATATTATTATTATCTTCAGAATATCGTATTCTCACCGTCGTCAATCAGAACAGCGCTTGCCATGACCTACATGGGCTCCGAAGGCACCACTGAGGAGGAGCTAAAGAAGACCCTTTCACTGGAAGGATCTGACAAGATCGAGGTGGCCCAAGGATTTGCTCAACTTTTGGTCAAGGGAGAAATACCCAAGGGAATTTTTGAACCTCAGTTCAGCTATGCCAACCGTATCTACGTGGCCGAGAAGTTCGTGCTTGCTCAGGCCTATCAAGGATTGGTGGGTAAATACTTCAAAACACCCGCAGAGAATGTGAATTTCGGAGACAGCGTGAAAGTGTCCCAGAGAATCAATTCCTGGGTGGAAGCAAAGACCCATCATCAAATCAAAGACCTCGTTAGCCCCGACTCACTCACCCCTGACACTGCCGCCATTCTGATCAATGCGATCTATTTCAAAGCCAACTGGGTAAACAGGTTCTCCGAAGCCATTACGAAAGACCACGATTTTGTGTCCTACGATGGGTTGAAAGTAAAGACGAATACCATGTTTCAGTGGGAGTTTTTTAGGTACGCTGAGTTGCCCTCTCTGAAGGCCAAGGCATTGGAAATGCCTTACAAAGGCACGAACATTGTGTTCCTTATCATTCTGCCTTTAGAGGAGCAGGGACTGGGTGCACTCGAGGAGAAGCTTAGTGGAGTGGACCTGAACGAGATTAGTTCGCAGTTGAAATCAGAGCACGTGCAGCTGCAGCTGCCCAAATTCAAGCTAGAGTTCGATGTCTCCCTGGTGCCAGTCCTGAGGAAGGTGACTATGTGATGGAGGGGCAGCTGGACGGCGGCTAATTAACCGATTGATAATAAATTCAGCTGGGTCTAGAGACCATGTTCAGTGACAGTGCCAATTTTAAAAGCCTAGCGCAGGGCCCTAACTTGAAGATCTCTGATGTGGTGCACAAGGCCTTTATCGATGTGAACGAGCAAGGAACCACTGCCGCTGCCGCCACCGGTGAGTCGAACCAAGTAAGATTTGAGAACTTTAGTGACTAACGTCTTTTCATGGCAGCTGTGAAGACGGTGTTTGTATCGGGCCAGATACATAAAGGACCGACATATCCCTTCATCGTTGATCATCCCTTTTTTTTCGCCATCAAAGACGAGCAGAGCACCTTCTTTCTGGGTCACGTTACCCGGCCAAATTAGTAACAGCTTAATAGTATTTTTAACTGCAGCTGTGGATCCATGCACTTATATATAGATTTGTAGTGTGACCGCTTGCGTAAGCTGTTAATAAATATCATCTTCGTCGCAAGAAGATTTGCTGATTAGTTTCAGTTGCATGGGGCTCTCGCTCACGCTTTCTCTTTTCGCTTTTTCTTGCTAAACTTTGCTGTAATCGATACGTTAGCGTAAATATTGCAGCATACTTTCTGGCGGGCACATTAAAACATTAAAGCTTTATGCGGCTCTCTAGTTCTGGTTTCCTTGCACTAAGTAGCTAGCGAACCATATCGATTAGATTTACACACTCGGGGCTGTGGGATTTCCGATAGATTTAATTCTCCTGTATATCCTTTCAGCGAGTTCAAATTTCTATGACTTCATCTCTGAAACATGCCCATCACCATCTCGAACGTCTCCCTCAGCGTGCAGGCCTCTGCAAGGGTATTAAAAAACGAAACAAAATTTCAATTTATTTTCAAGAGCACAGAGGGCAAGAAGGAGCCACCGCCAGACTGTGAGACTGTGGCTTTCGCATCACATTTAACTTTTCCCGCCTTATATTTTATTCAAATGGTTCCACATTATTATTTTCTTTTATTTTGTTTTTGTTGTGTGCTTGTGCTTGAGATGCTTGAGTGCCTGACATTTTCACATTTTGCTGCCGTTAAAACCAAATTGCAGGAGAAAACACGAAGCAGGAATGCCTGCCATTATTCTCAGGCCTCTGCTCCATCTATTAGAATGAGCCTGCCTGCCTCTCCTCCACATCCACTGCCACCTCCTCCGAGGAGCTACGCTTCTCCAATTGTGGATTCCTCTCCCTGTATTTGCGGGTCAAAAGTTTTCAACGACCATTAGGCAGATCTCGTGTGCAGCCCAATTTGGACACCATTTCATTTCGGACAAGCGCTCAGGTGCTAAGCCTCTGGTGTAATGAGATTTCCCCTCTGCACAGTCGGATCAGCAGGGGAACAAGTTCAACTTATAAGTGAATTTAAAGTGAGACCGCATCGCCAAAGTTTGTGCCGGGCCCGTCGTCTCTGTGGCCATTAATTGAGTTACACGGAGAGCACCAGGCAACGAAATTTCATTACGCATACGACCCGTTGCATGACCAGCCATATGAAAGGAGGAAAGGCAAAGTTTGCTGCAAACGTCATTAGTTTTAATAACATTTAAACAAACCAAAATAAGCCGACGGAGCCGCAAAGCCACACAAACAGTCTGCTGGCTTGTCCTTGGCAGCCATAACATTTGTTTAGGCCCGTCCGCCTCTGAAATTAATGAGGAATGACATTCGCATTTAGTGCTTCATTGCACTCCACTCAACCTCCGATTTGCCACGTGTCCAGAGCCAGAGGATTGCTGCCTCACCGACTGCCACGTGCCAGCCAAAATTGAGTTAATTCAATTACTCACCTAATCTCCAGGCCTTTTTGTACATTTTTATCGAGTTGGCGCAAACCAAATTTAAACGAAAATTAAATTTATAACGAAATTATTAATAAAATGAATTGCACAGAAATTGGATAATATTCTGATAATATTCTGATAATATTCATGGCAAGTGAAGGTTTAATTTCTCTCACTATTCATGGCTTTCGAAATTCGATGTATTATTTAAAAATCGAATTAAATTAAGTGCTATTTCCTGAGTGTTTACAAAACTTTTCTATCTAAATTAAATCGGACTGTCATAATCAATTCAAGCAAATCTTTTCTGACCCAAGCCTGAGAATCGGACTGGCAATCGGCAAAAGTAATTTGCATAATTAGTGAGAAAGTGACTCGAGAGCAAAGAAAAGAAAAAAAAACCGTTGAATAAATATTGTGCATAAATTATGGGAATAAATACACAAGAGTCCAGTAAATGTGTTAATTTGACTTACCAAAACTTTGCTCTGTGTGCAATTTTTTTGTTGGCCAACTTTCTAAATTAATGCGTGTACACATAAATAAATTTCTGTTTATTCTCCGCCATTTTGTGCTGCCGTCCATTTTGGCAACGCGTTTGGTTTTCTGGTTTTCTAATGTTCGTTTTCATCGTTCGCATCGCTTTTCTGAATTTTTCTGTATTTATTTTGCTCGCTGTGCCTTTGTTTTCCTTTCCTGTTTGCGCTTCAATTAACAACAACTTGTTACAGGCGCAAATTGAACTTAAGCTCTCTCAAATTTAAATAAATAAAATAAATGCCGTGCTAAATAAAAAAATTTAAGCCGAGAAAAAAAGCGAACAAAATACTCGTATCTAACGCCAGTCGGCGGATGAGTATGTTTTCCATTTTATCTTGGTTTGTGGTTTCGCAAATACGTACTCGTTTTGGTAGGCGGGTGTTAATTTCGTTGGAATTTATTTTTCGGTTTTACAGCAGTTACAGGTGCCGCTCACACGGCTATATCGAAAGATGGAGATACAAAAATGGAGAATTCAGATGTAGATACATAGTGGAACAGAGTGTGGGGAAACTGTCACAGGCCACGCCCAGCAGTTGGGAAATTTTATTGCGTGTTTGTTTTCCAGAAAAATCATGGAAATTGAATTAAATTTCATTACCTGACTAACCAAACATTGATACAAACTTGATTTCATTCTCTGTGAAAAATTGTTTAAACAAATTTTTACTTACTTTTCCATTCATCGTTTCAAATTTTGTTCAATTAAAAAACCATCGTTTCACATAATTAATTATATTTTAATAGATCTATTTCATATTTAATTGCTCATATTTTTCATACACTTCCGTATACACTAAGTTCTACATGTATTTTATTTTTAGAGTTTGCTAAAACTATATTTATTTATTTATTTTATTTCTGCCATTTAACTTCATGCATCACTTTCGAGGTACATTTTATGAGCAATCGAAGTAATTTTACCATGGAATTGTCTTGCATTTGTTTTCGCATTTCTATTGTGAGAATAAATTCCCATCAGAATCGCATATTGATGAGGGGAGAATGCAGCCATAAAGGAAAATCGCAGCGATTAGCTTAAATTGCACAAAATCTTCCAAAAAGACCCTCGGAGCTCAACACAGAAACACACATAGACACACACACAGACACAGACACACACACAGAAACACATTGCACAGACAATAAACCAATAAACGAAAGACATTCAAGTGACCCATAAAGAGGGGGAGCTCCAACGCAGGACAGCAAATGCGCAAATGAAGTATCTTAGGGATTGACATAAGTGTAAGTGCCCCAAAGATGATGCTGCTGCGATGGATTCTGGTGCGGGTGCTCGTGCTGCTCCTGCTGGTGCTGGGGATGCGAATGGGACTGCAATTCCTGCTGCGTGTCAGGCACACCGAGAGCAGAGGGGATGTGTATGTGGATTGGCGAGTGGCGGAGCCCCAGAAACATATGTTGCATGGTGGGGGCCAAAGTTCGTGCTCTGACTCTGTGCGGGGGGGTAGCCCAACTGTTCATAGTAGGCGGCGCACTCGACGACCGCCTGGGAGCTGGCACTGGCGCTGGAGCAGGCCGAGCTGAGCGAGGCGGAGGAGTTCAAAGGCGGCGAGTGATGGTGCGTCATGGGCAGCATTTGATCCATGAGATACTGGTCAATTTCCTTGGGATCGATGTCAGTGGCTGACTTGTAATTTAAGGCTCCACTGGCCTGTGACGCGCTGACGCTCGTTGTGGCCTGTGCCACATGCGGATGGGGATGCGGATGGGGCTGCTGCTGCTGCTGCTGCTCTTGGAAATCGCCCACTCCAAGGCCCACTCCGTGGCCCACTCCTCCCCCAGCGGCAGTGTAAGAGTAGCCGGGATAGTTCACCCCCCGACCATTGCTCGCATAGCCTGCATAGCCATTGATGTTCTCCAGAAAGTCCATTTCCGGGCCCCCCTGCGTCTGCTGCTGCTGCTGCTGGCTGTAGTTGACTTCGCCCAGGGCTATGTACTCGCGGCCAGCATCCAGCAGGACCCCGTAATCCGTGTGCACTCCATTACTGCTGGGCTCGCTCAGCTGCCGGAGCAGCAGACTGGAGCTGTTCAGGGAGACTCCTCCTGCAGTGGGCTTCGCGGAGGAGCCGCTGTACGGCGTGGCCGGCGGTGTCAGGGAGGAGAGCGAGCTGGCCGTCGAGCAGGGCGAGTCCAGACCTATTTCGCTGTTTAGACTGAGGCCCTGCTCCATGAGGCTGGCGGCACAGGCACTGTTCAGGGACTTCATGAAGGCCTCGTTGCTGAAAACATCCGTGGTGGAGGTGGAGGTGGAGGCGGAGGCGGAGTTGGAACTGGAGCTGGACCCCGCTGTGGAGCACAGATTGGATCCGTTTACCTTCGCAGCACGCCGCTGGCCACTGGAGGAGATCCCCGAACTGGAGCTCCGCTGCTGCCTAACCGAGGCAGGGTTGGCCCCGGTCGCTGCTGTGGGTGCGACGCCCTCCCCCTGCTGCTGGGGCATGACCCTTGCCTTCTTGCGGCGCGGCTGGTACTTGTAGTCGGGATGCTCCTGCTTGTGCGTCATGCGCAGCTTCTCGGCGAATTCCATAAACGGCTTCTTATCGCTATCCTTCAGATTTCTGCGAATCAGAAAGGGAAACAGTCTGTGTCAGTGGCACTGGCAGTCGATTTTGAATTATTTATTGGTCTACAAATTGGTCCAGCCCCGGACCATTCCCAATTAGCCGAGGCGGATGCTTATGCTGTGCCCCCCTTATCGGCCAGCGGCAGATTCAACTTCTTATCGGCTGTGTGTGTCGCCCCGCGCGCTCAACTGTGAAATTTTAATTTCGAAACGAACAATATTTTATTACAAACAATATTGTATGGCATGTGGAAGCAACGCCGCTGTGGCGCAGATTGGGTCAATCTTTGGCCTGACAGTTCTCAATTAATCCAGCGATGTCAGATATGGGGAGCCACAGTGGCAAAGTAATGCGAACAGCGCTATAAAGTAAGGATGCAGGGTGCCTCCAAAGGTACTTAGGGTACGGCTTCGGCTTATCTAATTTTAGATTTTTCTGAAAATTCAGCAGGCTGCCAACTGTCTGCTAATGCAATTCCCTGTCCCTGTAGCAACCTTAAAGGAGAGATTTCCCTCCACTATTCTTTGCTATTCTTTTATTTCCCCTACAAGTTGCATCTTTGCCCGGCACTCGCAGGAACGACAAGTGGAGCTTATAAAAGACACTTTCCAAGTGGTTCATGCCCCAGCGTTTACGCTGTCAGAGACGTGCTGCCCACCCCACCCCACCACCGTGGTGCACGCTCCCTTTTTGCGTGTTTCTTGCTCTGCCTTCTGACTCGAGTGGTCGTGGTCGTGGTCGTGGTCCCTACTACTACCATCGCCATCTCCGCACGGGGTATATGTACTTACTTCCACAACTTGCCCAGCGATTTGCTAAGTTCAGAGTTCTGTAGATGCGGATACTGCTTGGACATGACGCGACGCGCTGCCTGGGCCCAGACCATGAACGCGTTCATCGGACGCTTGATGTGCTCCTTCTTGCGATCCGTGGGCGCCCTGCAAGAGTTTGAAAAGTATCAGAAAACAGAAATCAGACATCAGACATCAGACATCGGAGATGTGCGGGGAAATTCATGGGAAAATTGTAGCGGCTGCACAAGTGCGCAGTGACTTGCTGGCCAGGAAAATAAGTTTTCATTAATTGCAAAAAGAACGTCCACGAAAGAACACTTTTCCACAACAACAACGAATAATGTCAAACTGAAAATTGCAATTAAAACTTTTATTTGCCCATGGGCTAAGCGAAAAAGAGCGTATAAAATTGCTTAAAAAGAGAAAGAGAGACAGAGAGAGAGAGCGAGAGAGAGAGAGTAGTAGAAGTAGAAGTAGAGAAATAAAGTAAAACGTGAGCAAACAAGGCCACAGGCCATAAAAGTTCAAAAATTGCAGTCAAAATATAGTTTTGCTTTTGCGATTGAGGAATTTGCTGCGCAGCGGGAAATGGCAGTGAAGTGAAAACAAAAGCAATCACGAAAGTCCGGAAAAATCATCAAAAATCATTGTTGTGAAGAGAGCGAAAGAATACTCCAAAAAAGCTGAAATTTCGGTTTAGATATCGATTTTAGCATTCTGTTTGCTCCAAATTTAATTTGAATTGTTTGAGTGTTTGCCCAAAGGCTTGACACTCCATCGAGGGGCAGAAATACATATTTATTGCATATGCCTTAGTCGACTTTTAAATACCTACTACTTGGATCCATATCTAAATATTTATGGGGGATAGACAGTGAGATATATAATAAAGGAATATTCTTTGTATCTTGTTCCTGTTTTCTAGGCCTCAGTCTCTCCTTTTTTTCTACTTCCCTTTTTGTGCAACAAATTCGATCCGAGCCCATTCAAATAAAACTGACGAGGCGTATGATAACTTCTTGGCCACAATGCCATACATGCGAGTACATAGCAATGCACAGATACTCTTGCGATATACTCCCCCTATATATCTCTGCATCGAGTATACATATATGTACATACATGCATGTGTATACCCTCTCACACATTGTCTTTATTCATTTTTATTTAGCATGTTCTAGCCCCAAAGACTACAATGAAGGCACAGATTCAATCAAATAGATAGGCGTGCCAAAGGGGGGCGGGGCTTGGGCTGGATTGGGAGGCCCCGTACATAGTACAATGCCAGAGATTCCCCTTCTTAAGGGCCATCTACTACCATAGAGCCATGTATGTACGCACATACACATATATTGAATTATTTATCCTAAGTCAACATGATCAGGGCAACAGATTTGTTAGGTAAATCTTTCAATTGAGTTGCCAGCGACTGTCTCTATGTGTGTGTGCGTATCTATGAGTGTATGTGAGGGGGAGTGCTAATGCTCACTCTCTGTGGCAGTTTATTTGATATGCCTGGCTGCACCCTGGCTGCCAGGCCACAACAAATTCAACTCAGCACAACAAAAAAAATATAAGGCAGACACCGTTTTCAATCAAAGCGAATCAATAAACAGATGTTCTCAGGTGTTTTTTCCAAATCTCTGCACTCAAATCGAAGCAAATAAAACACAAAGTGTTCCACATAAATATAATTCCACACGCATGCAGAAAGAGTTGTGTGAAATGTGCTCTATTCTCCTTTTACTTGTGTGCAACATGCAGCATGATTTTTGTGTCCTTGAAAAGCATCTACTGAGAGGCACCGAACAAGTTTTGCACATCGTTAGACGTACATACAAACATGGGTAAATATGTGAAGAATTCCTGAGGGCTCATGGTCTGTTAAACTCACTTCAAAGATTCCCAACATTCCTAAAAGCGGTTTAACTTTAAATATATTTTCGCAACAAGCGATTATCATCCGAATGGAAGTCATTGAAAGTGAATTGGATATGTAGTAGAACAGGCAAGGAAATATATAAAGTATATTTTTCAATTCCGCTTTACTTCACGCGGATAGCACATATTTTATCCGTAAAATTTGACCTGCGCAAAAAGCCTGTTTCGGAAATCACAGTAATGTAGAAGACAAAAAGTCACTATTTTTCCGCGAATAACTCGTCCGCCCTATGTCGTGGTAGCGCATCAATGGCTATAAGCCATTTCTATACAACGTAACTTTGAACTTTGAAAAATCTCAAATCGAAAGAAATTTTTAATTACTTTTATGGATTCTTCGTCACTCAATCAAATCTGAACCGCCTTTGCCCCTTCGATGTAAGTAAAGCCATTCGAATTTTCTGGATTTGGTTATTCTTTGAATTTATTCGTATCCCCAGAACGAGGTAATTGTGGAATAGTTCACCAAGTAACCTTTCCGGGGTGACTATTTGCTGGAATCAAATTGGATGGCCTTTTGTGAATTTATATATTTCTCTGATATTTCATTTGAATTTATGAATAAATGCATATTCCTGGAACTATTCAGCGAGACTGTTTTCAACACGAACTCGGACATTTCGATGTACCTATCCGATTGTAAAAATCATTGAACCAAAAATCTCTTTATTGCATTCACAAAATTATAGATAAATGGTTATTGTTTTTTCTGTCGGAGTTTCAACTCAGTGACTGATCAACGTACATTTTAAACGAGCAAGCAAATACATAAAAGGAATATAAAATAACTACAAAAAAGGTTTAAGGAATGAATGAATCCTTTGGCTGTGCTTTTCTAGGTGCAAAGCTCTTCTAAGTTTCTCTCTGCCTTCTTGAAGAACTGCTTCCCGCCTGGACTTAATTATGGGTTTGCTTGAGCCCAGGCTTATTAAGCGATTAAAAACGCGCCAGGCGGACATCAGAGTTTGGGGAGGATTGTCGGCCCGAGGCTCTGCTTATCTGCCGTTGGTATCGTCGGCGTCGTGATCCCATCTCCTCCTTCCCAACGCCATTGTATCTGTGTTTGCTTGTGGATGCAACTCTCACGCTTGACAGCACGCTAATCAGAATCAAGTGATGTTCGTTTGGCTGTACTGGGAGATGCTGCAGTGCCTCCGCCTCCTCCTCCTACACTGCAGCCGCCTCATGAGGAATGGCAGCATCCCCCACAGGCACTTGGCAACTCAAGCACGTCTTCATTATTATACCCTCGCCAAAGAGGGTATTGCGACTCTGACAAGGCAATTGCAGCGCACAAAAGAAAGCTGAAATATTAGAAAAGCCAATTGAGAGTATCCCAAGCTTCGTCTTCGAAGAGCAGGCTTTTGCCTTGCCATTTTCTCTGCCTGTTGTTGCATTCGGAGATGCGCAAATCTCATTAAGTGATATCTTCAAGTGGCCATTGGCTTGCGAGCAAATATGAGAAATGAGCAAAGACCGCCAAGAATTTTGTTTCGTTTTTCCTACATTACGAGTACATCGTTTATTTTTTTTTTTTATTTTTTCATTTTTCGTTTTTGCATATTCCAGAGATACGAGTACTTTGTTGGCTTTTGTGGGCGCATCTCTTTATCAGCCCTGCCATGGACCATTAGCGGGTTTTGTTATTAAATTTGGAATGAGCATTGGTTGGGGGAGGGGCGGGGAGGGGAATACCCGTAAAGTCCAAATATTTACAGCTTTAACAGAGCCCCACGAAAATTTCCATGCCCATTTTCATATAATTTTCGTTTCCAATTTGTAAGCGCATGTCAATGTGGGGACAAATGCGCCTAATTAGCGTCAGAGGCGGGTGGAGGTGGAGACGTCTCTGCGATTTTCACAAGTTCACAAATATGAAATGTATCTAACAGATACAGTGCGTGTAAACAAATTGCAGCCGCCGCCACAAAGCAGCAGCAGCACCAGCAGCAGCACCAGCAGCAGCCCAAGCAGCTTGTTTGCTTAGGCAGCAGTCAGGGCACACATTTTCCCACGCACTCCGCGTCGCGTCGTTTCTTCTTTTACGACACTTTTGTCAAACACAAATTTGAGGCACATTGAAATGCATCCAACGGATGCAGTTGCTCGGAGACAGACTGCCTGCTGGCTGTTTGCTTTGCGGTCTTGGCTCACAAAAAGTTAGTCCGAAAAGGTGGTCAAACATTGGGAATCAGAATGAGAGCCCCCGAGATAAGCCGATAAGGCTGCTACCGTGAGAGTTGCATCCGAGTTTGCTCAGCTTTTGTGTGGCTGTTTGTCGAGTGGAAATGAGTCCGCATTGGCATTGACTTTGAAACAGTTCTGGGAAGCAGATAATCATCTGGGTTTTGGCTTGGGTTAGGTTAGGGATTGACTGACTGGGCCGAAAGGAAACGAAACCCTTCAGAGCCTAGTTTGCTTTTAAGCTTTCGCTTTTTCTTTCGTTTTAAGCCGACTCTTGGCCCACTTCATCCAGGGACCATTCTCTGTTATCATTTCATTTGGCACTGGCTCTCTGCCTCTGCCACTTCCCCTCTTTCCTTTTTTTTTTTTCAATTTCCAAGTCAATTTATTTTTACAGCACGGCGACTGTGCCGCACTTGAACGAAGTGGCGGGGCAGAGCTGGAGCCGAAAAAGGACACCCATTGACCGCCTGGGTGCTGGGAGGAACACGATGTGAGTATCTGACTAGGCGTGAACGTTGCCACATGGCTGGAATGGGATGCTTGGGGGCTGGCAATGAAGAGCGACAGTTTAAGTGCCAGGCGGGAGCTCCACCGAAAGAGCAGAATCCAGCATCGCTTCGGTGTTGTTTTTCCTGTTTGTGGATATGCGGGTGGATGGGTATTTGGGTGGATGGGTGTTTGGCTGGGTGTGTCTAAGGTCGCTTCATTGGTACAATCAATGGCTATATAGGATGTCAGCCAGCTAGGCGACATGTCCCTGATGATTTGATGATTGTCGTGAAGTGGCCCCGAATCAAACACTATCCAACAAAGGCCTCTGCTACCATTTAAATATTTATTGCACCCCTTTCCATGTGTCCCATGAATCATGCCAAGCCGAAAGAGACAAACCGTTTGCACACCTTCAAATATCAGACACACAAATGCCATGTGCATACATACATTTGAATGATTCACCGAAATGCAAATGAAATTCATCGAATATTTCCATACAATCATCGAGTTTCTTCCCATGAAGTCTAGTGTAATCTCTCAGAAGTGGGAAAATTCGCCTCTGCTTGGCTTTGCCACACCTATTTACCTCTGGTGATTTTCCGTGCAGCCATCGAGCAACACTGCTGAAAATGGATATCCGGTTAGTCGGCATCCGAGCCATCCATAATCTCGTGGGTGTTTCTGCCCTCGGAACCCCAGCCAGGCCACAGGATTGCCAGCACCATCGATAGGGGGGGGAGGCAGAGGACATCAATCCCTGAACTGTTGAACCCTTTTCGAAATGGCATATCGAACGGATTTGCTGGTAGCTGTACTTGGGCTAAAAGCTTATGACCGGATCAGACATGCGTTCAATTTTATGCGAAAATGTTGTTTAATATTTTGCAAAACACTCACAAAAGGGGAAAGGAGAACAGCGAACAGAGCAGCACAAAGCACAGAGCTGTGAAGAAGTGCAGATACCCTTGAAGGGGATATGGAACAATATTGATCAGAGAAATGAAAGCAATTCGTAGCGCAAGGGGCATTCGTTTTATGGTAGCTAAAGTACTTTAAATATTTACAATCAGCAACAATTGTATAATTCCAAGAAGCTCTTGTGTTGTGTTTCCCTTTCCTGATTACTTTCCCACTGCTGAAATCCGAACACACTCTGCACTGCAGCTCATCAGTTTGATGGCCCCTCTGCTGGCTGCTCCCAAAAGAGTTTCACGGCCTATATGGGAAATCCCTTGCAGATTTATCTCACGAATCCTTCAGTCCCAACTGGCTTTTATTCACATCGCACATCATGAATGGCGCGCCGTGACTCATTCGGTGATGGCGGGACAACTTTTCGGCCATTGTCGCGTTCACCTGGTCATAAAATCTCCACCCACACCCCACCAGGGGGCCACGCTACAAAATGACAACAAAAGAGCAGCTCTGGGGAGAATGTTCCCCCGGGCTTAATGGGGTTCGAATGGAAGAAGGTCCTGCAGATTCCTGCAGCGAACAAAGTGCCAGCCCCCCAAAGTATGCTAAGCGAGGAGTAGTCGTCGCGTGGGGGGGCTGAAAACTTTTCGGTTGGCATTTGTGGTTATGGCTACCGCAGCGACATGGACACGGACCCACCGTGCCACAGCAACAGCAACGGCACCACCAGCGGCAACAACAGCAACAAAATCAATATTTGTCTTGTAAGCCTCACGTGTATCCCAGTTCGTTGATGGCGCCGCCGCTGCTGCTGCACAAACTTTTGCCTGTTGGTCACCAGAAGGTAGCATATCTATGGGTTGGTAAGGGATAGGAGAAGGACAGGATGTAGAACAGCAACAGCTAGGAACATATCTGTCGTTCTTGTCAGCCTCACCATCCTCCTCACACAGTGAATAAAAATCCACTTGTAACAGAATTAATTTCCAAGGATTTTTCCCTGCTGTTGCGATGATCATCAGATTGGGAATCCATAGAGAAATCTGTCAGTTTTCTCTGGGCAGTTCCACTGTACCGCACCCCCACGTCGTATGGTTCTCCCACAATTAACCGCACGGAAGGGAGTCACGTGGTTAGACCCTCTACTCTAGTCTGCAGCTCCCTACTGCCCCCCACATGGGGTGTAGGGGAGTGTTGGTTTAGGCTGGCCGAGATGACTTGTTGGGGCGCATGTAAATTGACTCGTCGCCGCATACCCGAGAAAGAACATCCCACCCTGGAAAGAACTATGTAGTGTCTCTCGGTGATATCAGAGCTGGAGCTGGGACCGGGGCCGAGGCCGAGCTCCCCACCTGGTCGTGGGGTGTGATAACACCTCGGGCCGGACACCCAGATAAGCAATAAAATATTTATAACGTCGCCAAAGTCGGACAGGGAGACGCGGTTCCTCCTGCCCCATATCTTATCGTCGAGCAAATAGAGTACGGCGCATAAGACTCCACAGCGGTTGGCAGGAAGGGGCTGCTCCAACATGCAACATACGGCAACCCTCGGCAAAGTATGGGGCGACATATGTGTTATTTAATAACAAACCCTCCTATAACTACACACGGGAATATGTATCTGTAAGTGCGAGTATCTATAGGTATGCGAGGGGCTGCTCAAGTGGCTGCTCGGCATTTTGTTATTCCTATTTTTATTGGGCTTCGTTCTCGAAAGTGATTCACTCGAAATTCGTTTAACCAAATCAAACAGAAATATAAATTCTGATGCGACACCCCAGAGAGAGGGGGGGCCATAAAAAATTAGCAAAAAGAAACCACATTTTCAGCCTTAGGCGACACTTGCTATGCGCTTCATACGGGGCATGGATGGTTGATGGATTGATCAAGGGAAAGAGTGTGAAATCTGTTCTAACTTAAAGTGGAAGAACGGGATGATAAAAATCAGAAATTCTTTACGAAAACGCTCAAGGAAAATCCAGCAAAAAATTGTATTTCCATAACCACTTCTTTATTCTGGGAGACTACTCTATGGCGCCTATTTCCAGATTCATAAGGCTTGGCTTTTGTTATGCAAATGTATCCACAAGCTGTAAAAGAGTTCCAAGAAAAAGTGACACTTAAAGGGGAAGCTCTGCTGATGCATAAATCTGTGAAATTTATTAATATCTAAGATATTAAATAGTTGAACTATTAAAACTTTTCAGTCTCATATCTCTATGCTGATTCTGGTTATACTCTTCAAAGAAGAGTTTTAAATTCCCTATTCTATAGTTCATAAATCTCACCTATAAAGAATAATCCCATCATCCTTCCATCCATCCGCCCTTTAATTTTCATTTTTCAAAAGGAATGTTAAATCATTTTCTGCTTTCATCTGCGCCCCCTCAAAAAGGGTGTAGCAATTAAATTCCTTCCTTTTACAGCATTCTTTAGAAATTACAAGATTCAATCCAGATCCAGGTGACAGGGGGAATTCGGGTGGGAATTCCGTATAGAGAGCGAGGAGAGCAGGAGGAGGGACATGCCGATGTGCATTTAAGCGATTTTAAGTGGAAATAAACAAGGCTCATAAAGCGCAAGGTAAACAATTTCTAGTGTGATTATGGGGCGGGAAAAAGGGGGGGAGAAAAAGGGTGTGGTACGTGGCGGGGTGGACTGTAGCAGAACAAAACTGTGCATAGATAGAGGCAAGAAAATGGCGCCCATATCCTTGTGCAAACACACACGTGCTCTTGACAGCGCTTTCTGCACAGTTTCCAATGAGGGGCCAGCTCCCCCCCCTGAGAAACGGTAAGGGGAATACATGCTCGCCCCAAGGATGTTTGTCCCTGGCCATCAGCGGGCCCCCCTGTGGGGGGTTTGATAAGAAACAGCAACACGAGAACAAAGAAGCGACGAGGCAACAACTGACAAACACAGACACGACAGAGAGAGAGAGAGAGACCGAGAAGGGAGCCGAAGATACAGATACCCTTGAAGATCTATCGTTGCGATGATTGCTGAGTAAAGATAAAAAAAATAAAACTGTAGAGCTCTTAAGGTTTTAGGGAATATCTTCGAAACTAATGATTGCATAAATCTTTGAGCAGGAGGATCTATGACACTATCTTAAAGTTGAGAGGGACGTGGCTCTCTGCTCATTGCAGTACGAGTTACTCTCCGAAAGGGCATCACAAAAGACCAGTAGGAGGATGCACACAGTCCCAGAAATTTGCTAATTGCTGGACAAACACCAGAGGACGAAGACGCAGATGAAGATTTGTGAAGGAACTAACCAAGGATCACAGAGATCAGGCCGCGGTTTCGCTGCTGGCTTTCTCACGACCTGACGATCTCCAGCGTCTCCTAGTCATCTTTTGTCAAGTGTCAACGGCAGTGCCTGCCTGCCAGTCAGACTGTTCTGCTCCGTCTTCAGTTCGGTTCGCTTTGGTACAGTTGATTGGGTTTACGTTCTGTTTGTGGTTGGTTACCCTACGAGTATCCCCACAACCCCAGCACCCCCCTATCTGGTTAGCAGTTAGCATCTTTACGCTAAAAACATATTTATTCGCTTTTTATGCCTGAATTGATTTGTCTCCGTCGTTTTCTTCGACATTTTCGAGTATCTTTCAACGCCGTCACACATTTATTGAAGCTTGTATTGCTGTATCTCTGTATCTCTGTGTCTTGTATCTTTTTCCTTTTCCTATTATTTGTGCCTTTGGCCAATTTGTTGCTTCCCCCCTCCACACACACGTTCATCCATTTGTTGGTTTGTCTAATATGTGTGAATGTGTAAATTCATTTTATTTACATATGCCGACAGATTCCCTATCGTTTCGTTCTCCTCTCTCTCGCTCTCGCTCTCTTTCTTTATTTTTTCCTTCCTCTCTTGCTTTGCGGTTCGCCAACATTTGTTTATCCAGTTAAATAAAAGAAAACCCATACATGCATTATAGAAATTGTGTTAATCAGCCACATCGTCGAAGGTGGGAGAACTCTACTCGTATGCCTGCCGTACGCGCTTAGTCATTCATGGGCTCAGAATGGGTTCATTGATGACTCGATCTGCTCTTTAGGGAATAATTACTGGCGCTAAAAGGGGAAGCTCACCATTCCCAGCCTACACTGCACCGATAAAATCCCTGTCTCCGATTTATATACCATCCACAAATTGGGTCTAGAGAACCTGGAAAGATATAGATTAAAAAAAAAACTAAGCCTGCTTTTCTGCCCAAATCACCATTCGGGACTACTGCGAGATCCAAGACTAAGATCTTTCCAAGTATAATCGAAATATAATAATTGTCAACTCTCCTCAAAGACTCTCCTCGAAACACTTGTTGGATGAATCTATGACACCCCGTCTGTATCGATTTGCATATATCAGACCTTCCCCTCGTTTTTGTCGATCACTTACTTGGCTGAGGCCTGTACCAGATTCCAATCGTAGCCCTCGAGGACCTTCATGACAGCGCTGGTGATGCGCTCATCCTCCTTGCGGCCGCCCTGTCCGGCGGCACGCTTCTGCTCCGCCTTCAGAGCATAATTGGCCAGAACCAGCGTCTCCACGGGCTTGGCCCGATCCTTGGCGCCATTCGAGTCGGGACTCTCGCTCATCTCCGCAACGCAACAAAATATGTACTTCAGATCTCAGATTCAACCACCGACGGCAAGTGGCGACATAAGCTCATAAACACACTCAGATCGCGGGCACAGAGCTGATCTTTCGCTGTTTTTTTTTTTTCACCCACACAGATATTGAGACAGACTCTCGGAACAGATCGGAAGACGATGCGAATCGGTTCTGTGGTACGAGACACGACGAGGCACCGCGGCTGACGAGCAAACTGCGACTGATCTTTGGGGGCCTGGAGCTCGGCCCGAGTGCCCCAAGACGAGCTCGGCAAATGCCGTCGGATCGTTCAGATAAGCTAAAGACGGTGGTTGGTTGGATCGTTAAATGGCTGAAAGGGTGGGGGATAGCGAGGGACGGGACGGGACGGGACTCGACTGCCGCTGATGATACGCGGCGGGGGCGAACATAAAAATCGCGGTACGCGTGTAAACATTAACATGTTCATGTGAAATTAGGTGGCCCCGGAGCGGGATCGAAGATCGTGGGGATGGGTATGGTGATGGGGATGGGGATGGGGTTGGGGGTGGAACTGGGACGTTCTGGGACTGGGGGAATCGGTTGACGATTGTCGCGCACAGCGAAGAGCGAAGAGCAAGAGACACATAAATCGAAATGGAAACAGAAACAGAAATTAGTAACACTTTACAGCCACATGTGGATTTATGACACCTCCGACATCGTGTCGGGGGTGGACAGCGCTGCGACTGGGCCTCACTCTCGGGATCGTTAGGGACCTGCCACTTGTTGCAGCTGTATTTGCCGGGGGATGTGATATGGAACCCACCTGAATGGGCATAAGGGCTGAGGGAATAACGATGGCTAATGAGGAGTCGATACGATCATTAGGGATTTGGGGGTTAGCACAAGTGAATGGAATAATATCTTAATAATGGGGCGAAGATCGATGGGTTCCCAGGGGTTACTTTTTTCGTGGCTCATACTTGCGGATCGTTTGTATACATTGATAAGACTTCATTGCAGGAGTGTCTCTATCTAAGTAGGGGGAAAGTATTTCTTGAAGATTAATTTCCATTGATGAGCATTTGATAATGCAACGAATCAGTTCGCGGAGGTATATAATTTCCTCATAATACATATACTATCTTCCACTACAGCAACATCTATCCAAGGCTCATTTGACACAAAAATGGAACCTATAATCTGATTTTGCTTTATTTTTCTCATATTTCTCGCCCCAAAAATAAGTTTTTGAACGGGTCAGGTGATCTGCTCGGATCCACTTTGCTCCGGTTTTGGTTCGAAATGTATTCACGGGCCAGCGCGTATGAGAAACGTGCCTAACCCCTTGAAAAGAAAGAAAGGAGCGACCGAGGGGGCCGGGCCTATTCATTTCACGATCGTAAAACCCCGAAGAAGTGTATTTTTGTTACGCTTTTGTTTACCAGCTGGTTTCAACTGGCAGTTATAGCATACAATCTGTATCTGCATCTATCGAATAACTTTTATCCGGCAGATTTTTGTTGAGGGGGGGGGATGGGATTTTTACAACTTTATAATTTTTACAACTCAATTAACTTTTTTTCAAACGCCGCTGCCGCCGGCTCCGATGCGAAGAGATCGAAACAAATCGAAGTAACAAAAAATTAAACAATAAAACAGAAAAATGCATAAACGGAATCATAAATACCTAGACCATTTCAGATACTCTCTATCTATCTCTCTCGCTCTCTCTCTCTGTCTGTCTGTGTCTAAACGCTCGCAAAGATTAACAGCCGAAATTATTACTAGCCAAAGGAATATGAGGAAAGGAAACAAAAACTAACTCCAAACTGACGTCGCAGCAGCGCCCGTTTTTTGGAAGTGTCATAAAAGACATCAAAATGAAAACTATATAGTACTCCATAAAAACCACATCGGCTTGAGCTAGAGATGGGCAGCCAGCAGAAACCACTTGGTATGCAGCAGCTTAGATCATATGGAATTTATTAGTGGAGGGAAATTACGCACGAATCGGATGGCCCATCTCTAAGTCAACGGCGACGTCGGCCTCTCAGTTCGGTGAACTGCAACTGGAAAATTGATTCGCGTCTAGAAAAATTTAATGGTACCAGCCTCTAACAATTCCCTCGTCCGTCCCCCCACTCTTTGGAGCCCCCCCTTATAGCGGCACACTTCAAACGCGCAAATCCACTTGTTGATAAACGAAAAATGTTCAGAGCGGACACTGAAAAAGTGTGCAAAAAATATTTTGAATTAATTAAAAAATATTCAAAGCAAATATTTTTAGTTTTTGTTGTTGTTGTTGCCACTTTTTGTTAAGGGATTTCATAATCAAATTGGAGCAAATGCATCCCCTGACGAGTGTGGCGTGGGGGGAGTGGTAGAAGGTGGAGTAGGGGCATCAGCAGCGGATGCTTGACAATTTGCGACATGGCATGAAATCGCATTATTTGATCTGAGCCGCCGACAGGGGCAGCGGCAGCGGCAGTGGCAGCGACGCCAGCAGAGGAAAGCGCAGCCAGAGACAGCGCTAAACGAAACCAAATGGCGCATTCGTAGGCTGTTCCGTTAGATGAAGAAGTGTGGGAAGGAGGGAGGTAGGGAGGAAGTATGTGAAAGACAGCCGTGCGACATGTGTTTGTGTTGCGGAAATATTTTATAAACAACAAAAGGAAACAACGAAGAAGAGTGAGGAAATATGCAAAAGTAATAAAAAGAAACACTGAGAGAATTGAGTGCCAGCGACTAGAGCTGTGCATCTACAGCTCATTTAATTTTGGATTTTTCACTCTTACAGTTTATTAATCTTTAACTGAAATGTCTTTTATATCTTTAGCTACCTTTCATAGGCATGTTCTTACATTTTTTCTCACAGTGTATATCCATCGCTCTCTGCCTAAGATCATTTCTCTGTCTCTGTCTCTGACTGCCTCTCTCTCTTGCTTTGTTTTTGTAATTCACACCTTAATTGTCGTTCGGTTTCAGGTTCGTGCTGACGACGGTTTTCCATTCGCCCACGATCTCTGGTACTATTAATGCATGTGAATGTGTGCGTGTGTGTGCAAGAGTTACTGTTTGCTGTTGTTTCTACTGCTTCGTGGATTTGTTTTGTCTTTCATTCCCCTTTGCCAACCAATCAGCGCATCCGAAAGGGGCGTGGCCTCTAGGCTTAAGTGATCTTAAATGCAATCGGCAAATATCCATGGAGAGCACTCTACTGCAGAGGGAAATACATACATTCTCAATTACTTTGATTTTAAATAAATTTTTGATTTGTTTTACCTTCAATAACTCCAATTCCGACTCCTATTTTCCCCACACACCAACGAAAATGGCTTATCAATTGTGAGCGATTGCTTATCTACCCCAATCAATTCCAGAAACACTCCCGTGGATGGATGTGTATCTGTATCTCTCCCTATACCCGTTGCTTTTGCTTTCCCATTTTTTATGTCACATTTTCTTGGGTTTCCAATTCGTTGGGTGGAATGTTGAGGGGTGGATAGGGTTAGCGGAGCTATGGGGGGAACAGTCTAATGGAATTCACACGTGTTTCGCTTTATGGAAACGACAGCAATAAAAAAGCATTCCGGCACTCGCTGGCGCAGGTATTTGGTTACTGCTGTAACTCAGGAATATTCAAATTGGCATCTGCCACCACACCCAACCCCTTTTTGGGAAATTGGTGGGAAAATATTACATTTGAGCAGGCTTTTCAACTTCCAAATTGGGTGTACCTGGTGTTGGCAGTGGGAGGGAGGGTTCAAATTTAAAAATGCTCTAGCATTTGAAGTCTCTGAGATCTAGCTTTAGAGACTATTGATACTGATCAAGAATATATATACTGTATGGGGTGGGAAACATTTCCTTTCCGCCCGCTCCGTTTTTCTTTTCCTTTCGTTTTATTAAAAATTTCGTTTCTTCTTATTCACCTTATTTTCCAGGTCTGGCTCCTCCACACAAGACTATCGCACAAAAGTATCGCAATTTGAATTTGTGCGGGCCATTTTCAGATCGATTAATCAATTTCAGGGCCGTATTTCAGCAATCGAGTACGGCAGCGCTGCACATTTTCAGGGCAGTATTTTCACACACCTTGCATCTTTTTATAATTGTTTAGTATTTTCCGTATGTTTTTAGTATTTTCCGGTCTTTTTTATTGTCGATGATTTTCTCCGTTTATCGCTGCGTTTGTCAAAAAAAAAAGCATTTCCATATCCAAATTGTAAAAGAAAAGCGCGCTTTTGCTGAAAAACGTAAGTGTTTCGCCCAAGTAATTCCAATTATTGAGTGCGACCGAAAAGGCAGTGATAAATGCGCGTGAGAAAAGGGCCCCATAAGAGATTTCTCGGTCAGCAGCAGGCTACTTTTGTGTGTCGTATGGCTCGTTGTGTGTGTGTTTGTGTGTGTCCGTGTGTTGGTGTGAAAATGCTGAAACAGTCATACAGAGGGGCAACGTGCTCCCAGTAGAAACAACATAGGAGGAAGAGAGACAACCGCTGTTCGACGAATAAGCTGCCGTATGTCGTGTATGTGTGAGCCAGGGCAAACGACTCTCACATAAGTTTTAGGTTTTTTTCGTCGTCGTCGTCCGTCGCCGCAGTTCCGTTTTGGACATTATTTCTTAACCGTTTAATGCACTTTAATTGTGTCTTTGCATTTGCATTAGTTTGTGTTTTTCCGCTCCGTGTGCGTGTGTGTTTGTCCCGCCTCCTACCCCCATGAAAACAAAGACGAAATATAAAAAAAACTTATTTTATCGCATGATTAACCATTGCTCAGACAAATGGCTGTAACAAATGCAGAAATGTATTGTAATTATTAATACCATTGCGTAAATATGTTGCGCTTGCGTGTGGCCCCAAAAATGTGAGTGTGTTTGTGTGCCCGTGCATGAGTGTGCCTTTGCGGATGAGGTGGAGCGCGGGGCGCCAGTCCAAAAACAAGTCTTGTGTAAAAAAAACAAAGAAAACTGTGAATCAATCCAATTAAACGATTTGAAAAAAAAAATTCTATGTTTTCAGTCGAATTGAGCGAAAGTAAAGAAGAAAGAGGAGAAGACGCGGAGAGTGCAGCACTCACGGACGCCAGCAGAGGAGGCAGCAGCAGCAGCAGCAGCAGTGGAAGTGCAAGTGCATGTAGAAGCGGGACGGACGGGATAGCCAAGGTAGGCGCCAATAACCCCTGCACAATTCCCTCCCCTTCGTTGTTTGTCAGTGCATTTGTTTTGCCGTTAGTTTTGCGGTTCGTCCTCGAGCTCCGCGAGGCCATTGACTGCGACGCCGACGTCAGCGACTCATAAAATTAATTACTAAAAAAATCATAGAACAATGTTTTTATAAGCAATGCATTGCAATTGTGTTTGCGTTTTTTATGGCGCCCCGCTGTCTTTCTGTTTAAACAACTGTTCTGTTTCCCCCCCCCTTCTCCGGCTGTGTTTTTGCCTCTCTGATTCCTCTTTGTTCTTGTGGGTCTGTGTTGGTGGGCAGGCGGAAGCTTTTTCGGCACCCGCCAACGCAACGTGCAGCTGTTTTTGTAAAAGAGAGCATACGACCAATAGTTACCGTGTACACAATGGTAAGATTAGTATTCGAAATGCGAGAAATGCAAACCCTACCTTCCACTTAGCCCCTATACAGTTTTTAAATAAACCCAATAAGAGCATTCCTCTGTGGAAAATATCATATTGTATTTTCCAAAAATAAAACATTCGATCAGCTGTTTCCTGTTTTGGGGTCTATGTCACGCACACTTACGTATGTATGTACATTCGCTCCCGCCTCCACCCACCCATGCAGACAGAATACACAACCAACGTATCAGTGCATAGACATTGCGGCTATCTCGCTTACTCACCTGGCGGTCCGGCTCAGAAAATAGAACTCGTATTGAACGCACCGTCAAACGGTACTTTCGGTAAACGAGAAGCCAACTCTGTGAGTGGGATGGAGACAGAGTGAGAGAGTGAGAAGGTGGGGGGGACACGCAGCCAGAAAAGTGTTAAATAAATCAAAGAAAAAAGCCAAAAGAAAGCCAAAGACAACAACAACATACCTGTGCATAGACCAGTTTTTGAGGTTAGAATTGAGTGGTGGCGGCGGCCCCCAACTCTGCGGCGTAGGTCAGAGCGGGAGAGAGAGTGCGATGCGTGAGTGGTCAAAGAAAGCGACTGCAAAGAGAGGTGCGAGAAAAGGCATATGTACATATGTACGTACAAATGTGTGCGAGAGTGCAATCATAATGGCGCCCAAACAGCAAATGTAGAAAAAACAACAATTAAATTTAATTTTTGTCACTTATTCCGGAGAAAACTCATCTGCTTTCTGTGTTTACTCTTCCGCAACTTAATTTCATGTTTGTTTGTGCTTTTCACCTTCGGAAAGTGTCATCTAAATGGCATTTTTTAACAGTCACTATTTGGTTTTGTCTCTCCCCTTCGTTACTTGGTTTTCAGTCTCCTATCTGTCTGCCTCTAATGGTTTACTCCTCTCTTCTCATAAACACGACCATATCTTTTATCTACATACATACATATTTATCTTTGTTGCTGATTTTTTTGTCGGTTGCCTTTTGTTAAACTCTTGTATACCCTTGCAGAGGGTATAGTTCACTTTAACGAATCAGGCATTTTGGACTCCATGAAGTACATATTTTTATTCTTGTCCTGGATCACCATCCACAGCTCCCACATCAAAGATCGGTCTAAAAGGGTATCAAAAGTTTCGGCCTAAGAAAAAAGCCATTTATATGTTGTTTTTTTCGATACACTGTCCAGCTCAAATCCGCCTGCGATCGTTTCATGGTAAATTTAATATGTTTCTTCTCGAGTTCGTGAATATTTCCTTCTAATCGCATATTTTCGGTTTTTCGTAGATAAATTGTGTTGCTACAATATTGTATCTTTAACATTTACATGTCAAGCGTCATAAACACAGATCCACGTCCGTTTCGGGGAAATTTATTACATCGGTATAAAACATAGCGTGTAACAGTTGCCTAATCAATAAAAATGCATATATTCAAGAATCCGTGACGCACATTTTGGGGTGCGAGGGACTGATTCCGAGGAATAAACTCTATTTTTGTGCGAGGTTCGGGTTCGGATCTGACCTTATCTCGCGCTTTGTTTTGCATATTCGTAGATTGGGCTGTAGCGTCTTCCCAAGGGGTATAAATTTAAGGTGGGAGAGTGCTGTTCCCATTTGAAATTTAACTATACCAAAAAGTAAAAAAATTAAGGATTATTTAAATATAAAAAAAACATAATTTAGAAAAAGAAATTTACAAATATAAAAAGGGTACACCCCTATATTAATGCACCTTGGCTCTGGCTTTGACATATCATATGCGAAACTGTAGTTGGCTTTGCTTTGTGTGGCTCGCTCTCATCTCTCCCACTTATATGTTTTTGTCAACGTGAGCGCAGCTTAGGCGATTTCCGTGCTCTTTCTTATCTAACTGTCACATCGACAGCTTCTTCTCATTGTATTATCTGCCTTTCGCATTTCGCATTGTCGTCTCATTTCACTTCGATTCCAGCGGTGCCCACCCCCCCGGAGCTGGTGGCTTTGTAGGCAGTAAATTCTTATCAGTGACAAAATTGAAAAGAACTGACGCTGCACTTTGTTTTTGGAGACATCCATATGTATACATATATGTATGTATGTATGTATAAACGTTTGTTTTTATGGAGAGTCAGTTTTCGTTGCTGGCCCTGTGTCGGGCACGTCGCTCATTTACCGCTATAACGGCAATGACAAACAGAGTGTAGAATGAAGACTGCAAGCCGATACTCATCGACAAAATGTCTTCTCTTTTATTTCAGCAACAATAAAGCCTTGAAGCGACTGTCTGGAATATTACAAAAATAGAATAGGAAACAGCAAGTGGAGCTCAGACGAAAGGACAGCGCGCAAGGTTTGTGGAAAAGGTGCAGTGATGGCTCGAAATGGTGGATAAATATGTATCCACCCTAACGATGCAGAGCCATGATGAGATTCTCAACTAATCTTCCCTTTTGTCTTCCCCAGCAGCAGGCAACGCAAATCCACACAAACACCACCACTCTCTCACTCTTCCACACACACACACACACACACAAAATCACAGACAAAATGGAGCTGCGTGTGGGCAACAAGTACCGTTTGGGCAGGAAGATCGGATCGGGATCCTTCGGAGATATTTACCTGGGAACCACAATCAACACTGGCGAGGAGGTGGCCATCAAGCTGGAGTGTATCCGCACAAAGCATCCCCAACTGCACATCGAATCGAAGTTCTACAAGACAATGCAGGGCGGGATCGGCATACCGCGGATCATCTGGTGCGGCAGCGAAGGGGACTACAATGTCATGGTGATGGAGCTGCTGGGCCCCTCGCTGGAGGATCTGTTCAACTTTTGCTCGCGCCGCTTCTCGCTGAAGACGGTGCTGCTACTGGCGGATCAGATGATCTCGCGCATCGACTATATCCACTCGCGCGACTTCATCCACCGCGACATCAAGCCGGACAACTTCCTCATGGGTCTCGGCAAGAAGGGCAATTTGGTGTACATCATCGACTTTGGCCTGGCCAAGAAGTTCCGCGACGCCCGCTCCCTGAAGCACATCCCCTATCGGGAAAACAAGAACCTGACGGGCACCGCCCGCTACGCCTCGATCAACACACACCTGGGAATCGAGCAGTCGCGCCGCGACGATCTTGAATCCCTGGGCTACGTCCTCATGTACTTCAATCTGGGCGCTTTGCCCTGGCAGGGCCTCAAGGCGGCCAACAAGCGCCAGAAGTACGAGCGCATCTCAGAGAAGAAGCTCTCCACCTCGATAGTGGTGCTCTGCAAGGGTTTCCCGAGCGAGTTCGTCAACTACTTGAACTTCTGCCGGCAGATGCACTTTGACCAGCGCCCCGACTACTGCCACTTGCGCAAGCTCTTCCGCAACCTGTTCCACCGGCTGGGCTTCACCTACGATTATGTTTTCGACTGGAATCTGCTCAAGTTTGGGGGACCTCGCAATCCCCAGGCGATCCAGCAGGGCCAAGGATGGCACCGATGGCCAGGTGGGCCACGATGCTGTCGCCGCGGCGGCAGCTGTGGCCGCGGCTGCCGCCGCCTCGTCGCACCAACAGCAGCACAAGGTGAACACGACGCTGGCCACAGCGGGCGGCAGCACGCAGCAGCTCCTCGGCACCAGCTCCCAGGGCGGACAGACTCTGGCAATGCTGGGCGGCGGCGGAAATGGAGGCAGCCAGCTGATTGGCGGCAACGGAGGCCTCAACATGGACGACTCGATGGCGGCCACCAATTCTTCGAGGCCGCCCTACGACACACCGGAGCGCCGTCCCTCGATACGGATGCGCCAGGGAGGCGGCGGTGGTGGTGGCGGTGTTGGCAGCATCCAGAGCGGCGGTGTGGTGGGCGACGTGCGGAACGCTAAATAATATTTTATGGTCTAGATGCAGCGCTGGACACACAGTAGACAAAAAACTCAGCAACTATAGAATACATAGTTATATATGCCCTATATATACACCGACACACACACACACACACACCTACACTCCCACACCTACACCCCCACACATGCTTTATATATGCGGTACCATGCAGGAGGACCTGGTCCCTGCCCCACAATCACACACACACACACATCGAGAGAGGAATAGGGGAGAAAGCGTTGGTGGAGATGATAGGAGAGGAGCGGAGCGGAGCGAGCGCTTTTCTTGCATTGTACATTTTCGTTTTGTTGCGGCTTTGACATGGACTTCCGCTCCCGGAGGATCGAGATAGGGCGTGGCAAAGCTTATTAAATAATTATCTAGATTACGATTAATTTAAATTATAATTTTAGTTGATAAAACGAATGCAACAATTGGCTGCAAGACAGAGAGAAACGGCAACATCTTCCACACACACACACTCAAGAGGATCAGCAGAGCCCTGTAAAGGGGTGAGCGGCGGGAGAGACAGAAAGAGAGAGAGAGAGCAGGAGCAAAGAGCTAGCATTTACCTACAGTACTGTACGTGTACACTGTGCAACACAACACCACGACACTAAGCGAAATACGCTTGAAAGAGAGTGCATTTGTGCCCAAAACTTCCTCTTTGCTCAATATTTTTGTTAATTTTTTTTCCTTTTTTTTTAACGTAGTCCCCGCCCCCGATCCCCCACTGAACACTGAAAACAGAACCCTGAAAAAACCATCAAGCAAACGCTGATTTATATTCAATGATGAATATATAGAAACGATAGCATTAGTGTGCAGCCCGATCACTGAAACAAGATTTGAATGTAAGTGTAATATTTGTGTAAAAGAAACAAAGGACACTCCACTCGTCGGGGTGTCCCTAACCTTAGTCTAGAGATCTAGCGATAGTGAAACCCGATGCAAGCAACCCCAACAAACCCTAGGTTAAGCGCTCCCCCAGTTACAGATAATTTTATCGAGGCACTGTCATGTCGAAGATGAGCCCACATTACGATATATCCGATGAGAGGGTTCTTTAGCTTTAAGCATCACTCTGATTTGTAATGCCCCCCCCAGCCCCCAGCCCCCAGCCCCCAGTCCCTGCACGCCCACAATATGTTACCATATATCTGCTACAAACATATATATATACATATAGCATGCTATATACATATGTACCATTATATACTTTTATGGTCTGCGCTTTCGCTGGATGTGTTCATATATTTCTCCATTGAAAACTGTTCAACTGCGCGCACTTCTCGAGTAGAAGGGAGGGATGCCTCCATCGACGGGGATGCCCCAAGGGATGTAACTAACATAGAGAACATATTAAAAAACAAAAACAAAAAATAGCTATAGAAAACAACAAAAGAAACAAACAAAACCTTTGCATTAACATTTCGAGTAGGACCCGTCAATCGTCGACGGGCACTAAAATTACATAACGCTAGCTAATAAATTATAGCTATAATATGAAATTTGTCTATAAGTAATACCAAACCATAAAAAATAAAACAGAAATGCAACAAAAAAATTATCTTAATTTCTAAATGCGCCAAGAGAAAATGGGTAAAAATTATATATACTATACAATATATATAAATATATATATGATAACTATACGAACTATATCTTATGAGAACACGTAAAACAATGTAAAACTCCACGGACGATAGACGACAGATGACAGCCTCTATAAAGTAAAAAGAAGAACACACCACACACACACACAACACATTACGAATCGAACAGCAAACCATATATAGAAATCAGATATCAGACCGCAAGAAACTTAAATAAAAATGCATTACGTGATATTTCTTATAAATTGTTTTTTATATTTTCCGTTTTTCGTTCAGCATTTGGTACTCCCAGCCCCAGCCCCAGCCCCAGCCACCCCTCATGATTATTCCAACAACTCGACCAACTATTATACACGAGAGATCAGATCACCTTTCCCCTAGATAGATTCTCCAGTTGGCATACAACCCGAATATTTATTCAGTGTACATATGAAATATCCATAAATATCCTTATAAATAATTATATACTTATGTGTGATTTTCCTCCTAGAATACAAACGAATACTAAACAATTAGCATTTTATCGGGGGGGATAACGAAGATGAAGATTCAAAACTGAAAGCAAAACTGATTCATAATAATTATGAAAAACTAAAAATGCGAATATGAAGAGAGTCCATAGAGAAACTAACAAATTGAAGAGAAATTACAGAATATGCAAAAAGTAAAAGTAATTTTCAGGATTTTGTATAATTAAAATGTATGTGTATATTGAATTGAGAATAGTACTTTCGAACTAATAAATAAAATGAAATAAAAATAAAAATAATTAAACTTAAATCGAAATCGAGTCGACACAAAAAGAACGCGAGTAATTGAACATTAACAAACCACCAACAGTGATATGAAATACAAAAGAAAAAAATAACCACAAGAAACATACATGAAAACTTAATAAACGGATGATACGTTAATATGGGAATCGATAGATTTATCGATAGGTGCACGCCACATTTATGTAATTAGCAAGTATTTCAAATTATAAACTAACAAAACACTAAACCATGATAATGTATGTCTGAGCAGAATAAAAGCAGCAAATCCAGTCACAGCAACAATTAAACTAAAGCTTAACTTACGATTTTTAATCGATGAAATTTTAAAGCATAAACACCAAACAGCACTCCAGACTAAACCATAAATAATTATTAACTGAAGGGTAATCATAAAATAAACAATAAGTAAGGCAATGAAAATCAATGGAAATGCAATTGCAATTGCAAATCATCAGAGATACCAGACAGACACACCATTAAATGCCATTTAAGTGTATGTAATTGAAAGAAATCCACAAACGAAAGACAAACCAAGCTAAAACCTAAATAAAATCGTACGATTTTCAACAAAAAATAAAACGAATATTTCAATTCCTTTGTTTTGGATCTTAACGGCTGTCAAAGGGGCGCCAGCCCGTATTATGTTATTAACACGCGGTCACACTGATACTCATTTTTGCGTTGAAGTAATTTTTGTCGATCAATCCGCGGTCACACTGACGACTCATTTTTGCGTTGTTGTAATTTTTGTCGATTAATCCGCGGTCACACTACAAAATATAAAAAAAACACTACTTGGCTGCGAGAAAAAAGGTTAAAAAACGTTTTAAATAAGTAATTTGGGTGCTGATTCGGGGTGAATTATGTACTGTTCTCACGGCTAATCTATATTCCTTGCAGGTTTTGTTGCGTTAAAGACCAGACACCGCCAGAACACACATCCTCACGATGGGAGCCAGGCAATCACAGTCGCGCGAACCACGTTCCGTTTCGATGGAGAACCCAACTCCTTCGGGCGTCATCGACATATCCGATGATGTGGTCAAGCGCCTCAAGGCGGGCATTTCACAGCAGGGTAACGTACAAGGCTCCCACGACATTCCCAGCGGACTAGCGATTGCGTAGACCGACTGTTATGCAACAATAGTCGAAAAGGGGATAGCGTCGAGCAAAATATGATTATGCTCTAATTTCGAATCTTGTTACAGCTCGCCAGCAAGCAGCCATTGCGGAGGAGACCAAACCGGCAGCCAAAGCACCCGCCGTGCCCGCAGCAGTACTGCCAGCGCCCGCGTCCGCACTAAAGACTCCCTCCTACCAGGCCGCCACTCCCATTTATGTGCAGGGCGGCGGACAAACCATCAGTGCGGCGGATGTGCAGCGCCAGATGAACCTGGAGCTGCAGCAGAACGACGAGCTCTGGCGCCAGCGCCTCGTCAAGCTGGAGGAGAACCTGAAGAAGACCAACACCATCCTCGAGTCGGAGTACGCCAATGCCGTGGAGAACGTGCACAAGCGCTTCGTCAGCACCGCCGCAGCGCACAAGGTGCCCCCCTGCCAGGACTTGAAGTCGCAGCTACTGGCCTGCTACCGCGCCCATCCCGGCGAGACGCTGCAGTGCATGCAGGAGGTGGCCCAGTTCCGGCAATGCGTCGACCTGCATCGCATCAAGAAGCTGGACGAGGAGCCAGTGGCGCCCAAGGCGCCAGCTGCCAGCAAGGCTGCAGTGCCCGCCGCCAAAGCGGGATAGAAACGACAAAACGACGGTTCCAGTTCTTATGTTGAGTTGATTATTTGTTGGCGGCCTTGCGAGACTTTTGTAAACGGCAAAGACTTGTGCGAGAAAGTGTAATTGTGAAGAATAAATAAGTAACGTAATTTAACAGATTTATTCGTTGTGCAGCTATCGACGCTCTTGCTGTCTGCTGAGGCGCAACAAGTGTTTCGGTTGCTAATTTAAACGAAATCATTTTATGTTTAAGTGTTTAATATTTGGTAATTTGCACACCTTTTCGCATCGTCTCCTCCGCTTGTACTACTGTTAACTACACAATCCGTAAAAACTAACTAAAATCAACAACAATTACAGCAGGCGTCCGCGCAGGAAGGCGGCAGCCAGAACGGGAAGAATGGCCGCTCGCAAAGCGCTGCCGGCGCTGCCAGCACTGCTGTTGATCGGCTTCTTCTCTTTGCGATCCTCACAGGAGTCGTCGAAGTGCTTGGCCGGACCCATGCAGCCGGCATAGCTCATCACGTACGCCACATAGTTCTGTTCGAAGACGCCGCGCACCAGGCTGGAGCCGGGGCCGGAGGCAAACACGGCCACATCCTCGCCGCCGTGCGTTTCGTCCTTGCGCGGCACGGACGCCAGGTGGCGGTAGGTGGGGGCCCTGCGCTCCTCCTCGGTGTACAGCTTGAGGGGCATCCACATGTTGGAGCTGTTCGCGGGCCGCGAATCGTTGGCCAGGTGATCGTAGTAGCCGGGCCCGTTGGCATACGAGATGGTCTCGTAGACCATGGGGTCCGCCTTCTCGTGCAGGTTCGAGGCGCCCAGGATGTCGTTGCCGCGCAGCGCATAGCCGTTGAAGGTGACGGCATGCGAGTGGTCCGCCGTGACCAGGATGAGCGTCTCGTCGGCATCGGTCATGTTGAGGGCCGCCTGGATGGCCAGATCGAACTCGTACACCTCGTGCAGAGCGGCCCGCGCGTAGTTCATGTGGTGGCCCTGATCGATGCGCCCGCCCTCGACGAGGAGCACAAACCCAGGCGAATCGTCGCCGCGTTCCAGCACCTTTAGAGCCGTCTCCGTCATATCCTGCAGCGACGGTTCGCCCACCTCCCGGGCAATCGAGTAGGTGATGTGATTGTTCCGGAACAGGCCCATCAAGTGATCCACCTTCTTCGCGTCCACAGCCAGCAGAGCATCCCGATTGTGCACCAGTGCTGGTGGCACTTTGTCCTCGGAATGGTGCGCCAGCCACTCGGCGGGAAGGTTGCGCCTATCCTTGCGACTGCAGATCGTTTCGGTGGGGCCCTCGAATTTGGTCCGCCTGACCTCGGAGGCGTTCAGGATGCCCATGGGCGACATGCCACCGCCCAGAATCACATTGAACCTGTTGCCTGGGGCATTCTCCACCAGCTGCCGGGCAATGTCCACGTGGATGCCCACCGATCCTTCCGGCACCTCCGTTTCGCACTCCCAGTCGCGATCGTAGATGTGGGCGTAGGTGGCCGCAGGCGTGGCATGGGTTATTCTCGTTGTGGTCACCACTCCCGTGCGCTTGCCCTCCTTCTGGGCCCACTCCATGATCGTTTCAACGCGCCCCTGCCTGGCATCCACCTTGGAGCGAGTGGCATCCACGCCAATGGCTCCGTAGTGCGTCTTGATTCCGGTGAACAGTGCCGTGGCCGTGCCTGCCGAATCCGGAACCTGCTTGTCCACGTTGTACGTCTGTCGGTGAAATGTGATAAGGGTGAAGATTCAAGTAAGTGTTACAAGTCCCTTCTGTAAATTCTGTGAATTCGTACCTTGGCCATTCCTGTATTGGGAAAGTTGTCAAAGGAGAGCGTCTCCTCCTCGCCATGGCCGTGCTTCAGGTACTGGCCCTTGTAGATGCGTCCCGCACTGATCGTGGACACGCCCATGCCATCGCCAATGAAGATGATGATGTTGCGGGCCTTCTTCGCGTACGAGTGGTCATCGGCCCGCTTGGCCTGGTCGATGGTCTTCTCCAGCTGCTTCAGGCCCACCTTGCGCCAGAACTGTGCATCTGCAAGCGAGAATTGTGATGGCAATTGAAATGGGACTCCGAATCCGAATTCGAATCGTTGGATAAGCCTCAACCCTGTCACGTACTGTCGTGGACGTCGCCTCTGCTCTCATTTGCCGCGTCTGGTGAGACTTCCTACACTATGTTCTCGCACTGCTAATTATTTAGATTTATTTTGTGTCTGAAATGCATCTACAAGTCGCTTGTAGATCCCCCATTTTTTTAAGCTAAAATTACTTTTTTTTTTTAATTTATGCACTTGGAATAAGTTGCTGGAATATCCCACTAGTGGCGTTTCAATTTGTTGCGGCTCTGTTTTAATTTACAGTACGACAGGCTTGGGTCTTAAATTATATATTCTATAGTATTCTATAGTATTTTCTTTATTTACTATATAGGCTCGTAATGTGGATTTTTCTACTTGAATGCATTGCGCTTAGTGCATGCCCCATCCAGAAATTTTGCTGGACTGCCACTCTGTCAATATTGGCACTCGATGTGTTATTTATCGCAGATACGAGTGCTTAAGCTGTCAGCCTTCTAGGAACTTTAAATTAGATTTAGTTCCTCGAAACGTACTATCAATATACATACGTATGATCTTTACAAAATCAAGAATTACAGAGAATATCCAAGTCCCAAGCTGGCTAAAACGCAGTCCAGAGAGAACCCTTCTTTGACAGCAATCTGTTCTGAAAGTTGCCAAATTTTCGTAGCTACTAGTTTTGATGAATCAATTTCTTTGCTATTCAAAAAGAAAGGCAACAAAAAGTTTAAGTGCATTGAATACAAATCACTTTCCGATACGAGTACTCGTTAATCATTTGCATTTCCTTTGCACTTTATGGATTGCACATTAGCTGATTCAGGCTGGGACATGATTATCGTCGTTTTGCGATAATTAAAATTCAATTGGGGTGCCAATTATGACCTCGACTTTGAGGCAGGTTAACAGTTAAGATTCATTGCTTGACTGCTAATTGGGATCGACAATGAAATTAAAAGTTCACGGCGTCTTTCTTTGCAAGAAACTCTACAGTTTCTGGCATCTATATAAGCAATCGTTTGATCTGCTTAAACTCTGATTATTAAAATCAATTGAGAGGCCAAACTAATAGTTGGATTAGAGTTCTGTTGCTAAATGAGGCATGGAAAGCAAAAAAATTGTTAAATAATAATATACTCGCTACATGTATTAGATTTTTTTTTTTTGCCTAACAGAATTAGTAATGCTCGTTGTTCCACCTGATTCTATTGCTACACTATAAAGCAATTTTAGACACACTTTTCTGTATGGTTTTTATGCTTTTTTTTTGTGTGTTTATGGAAAGACAATGTTAAAAGTGCTTGTGCATAAATGAACTGGGGGAACGGTTCAAGTTCAACTAATAGAAATAATTTCACGTACTTTAAGGGCGGCTGTCTGCCTTAGTGCGGGTTCTGCACGTGCGGGCAGTTAGGGAATGTCAAATTGAATAGAACACGTCGCAGTAGGGAAATACGAGGCGAGGCACTTACCTTCGGGCTCCTGTGTCTGGGGCTGCTGGTCCAGGCTGAACTCTGGCCCAATGTCACTGCCAGCGCTGAGGGTCTGGATCAGTGGCGGTGGCTGGAGGGTGGCCGTCCAGCTTCCTGGGATCAGGCCACCGCACCACGCGACAAAAGCGACGAACTGGAGGCAATGCATTTGCACAAGACGCAGATTGAAATACTACACGGGCAATTTAGGAGGTCTTGCTGGGGATGGGGTGTACTATTGTTCCGATTCCTATTTATATCACAGCTCAGCTTGAGGCGCAGATTTGTTTAACAGGCCATCGGAATGGATCTGAATCGGAATGCGCGAAACTGTGGATTGCTGTGGCTCAGAGCCCGCGTTTCGTGTGGATGCCAATTAGCGACTAACACCGCACCAAGCCCCCATCGCCGTTATATGGCAAACGATCCGATCCGAACAGCCATACACGAAGTACGCCATCATTCGTCGGGTTCCCCGTTTCGCTTTGGCCCTATTAAAATTACAGCTCTACGAAGATAAATCCATAAAAACGTGCAAAGCAAAGCCCAGGGCCCCCGTCATAAAGCTTAAGTATGGACGTTTAAACGATCGCTGTTTGCTCGCAGATTTCGTTCAGCATTTCCCCCGTGAGACTCATGTGTCAATGCGCTGATTTACAGTTGATTCTGCACGTGAAGCGGCTGCCGTGGCTCGTGCGGCTGTTATCTCTGGCCGTGGGGCTGCAGATGAATTCTGGTGCTGATGTTTCTGCTGCTGTTGTTTGCCCTTAATCAGAAATGATAAAACAGTCGGCTTTTACTCCTCGTATCTCGTAGCATCGGAACACAATGCGTCGCATGCGTGTTGTTTGCATTTCTGTCCGCTGCCTTCGGTGTTCGGTGCCTTCGGGCTGCCCTGCCGCCAAATGGCAAACATTCGAAAGAGTTTATCTCCTCCGACCTCTCAATGCCACTTGTGTATCACCCACTTGACGTGATGTTACATGATGTCTCGGGAACACAATGGGTCTAATCTAGAGCTGGGGCCAGCCTATTGTCATTGATTTGTGCTGGGTGTTGCTGCTGTTTGGATGCTGCTCTAGTTATACTTTCTGTAGATCTATCTAGATCTATCGTCGAGGAACTTGATCATTGTTGGAATAGAAAACTGTACACCAGATTCCAGGATCCCACAGATACATGGAGACACGATCTGAGGGCGGCCCCTGCCTTACCATTGACATTTGCCCATCCCGCACGACTCTCATAATCAGCTCATCTCGCTGTAAATCTTTATCTAGCCTCTAATCTATCTTTATTTTTATCTGTATGAATTTCTGCCGTTGTCTGCTTGCGCACGTTGCCAAATGACATTGCCAGCCCCAAATCGAAATAAAAGACGGGGGGAATCTTCCACGGCAAATGACGCCCGGCGGTGAATGATTCTGTTCTACTACTGTTTGCATTTCGTTGATTATTATTACAATGTTCTCCGCCCCTGTATCTTGCGCCTCGTGATGATCTGTTCCGCCTGAGTAGAGCAGTGGGGCAGAGTGTGGGACTGCTGGCAGCCACAGCTGCAGTTGCACTGCCCCCTTCGAGGGCCCGCAGTTGGAGGGCAAACAAATAATAATTTTGTTTGAGCTATTTGCTGCCATTTTTATTGAACTATATTTTGTCATGTCTCGTATAAATTTTTGCTAATATTGCAGTTGAAGGATTATGGTAGGGAGACACTCTACTCGTATGAGGCCTCCCTCAGATGACAGCACAGAATTTTCGTACAAAATTGGTAGCCAACAAAAGTAGATCTAGATATCTAGATCTAGAAATCTAGATATCTAGAAATCATAATCATTTCAGGCGAGTGCGAGTGGGAGGTGGAGGAGGAGGTAGAACTTCTTGGAGCTAAATCCGGCCCGCACTTTGCTGGGTAGATAGATAACAATAAAAGTCGTAAAAGTCAATGTATTTAATATATATAAATATATAAATCTCGACCTTAGGTATACAAAAATGCCGAAATTAATTGTTTAACCGAACCGGATAGGCAATTACAAATAAATGTAGTTATTAGACCGTTGCAGCTTATGGACGGTCCTATCAAAATCCAAATCAATATTTATAAACATTATTTGTGGAAATGAACCCATCTCTATCCATAGAACTAATTTAGTTCTCGTCTGCTTTCGAAATGAACTGTCCAGTGCGGTTTGCGGTGCTCCTTTATCTGGTGGCTGAGGTGTGAAGATCAATAAAACTCATCCTCAAGTAGGGGGGAACTTATAAGAAATCTGCATTCCAGATCCATTCAAAGTTTGAGTTCACCAACATGCAATGCACCTCTCTGGATGAAACATTTTCTAAATTTGATTATTGTTTTCTGAAGTCAGTGAATCGCAGCTACAAGTACATTTCCTTGAGAGCGAAATTGTTGCAGACTCCCATTACCAATGCCAAGGTGATTAGAGTGTCAAAAGTAACCCTATAGATTCTATTCCTATATATTACATATAGGTAAATGTCGCCATGTATCAACGTTTCAGTGGTTATAAGCCATTCCTTTATAATTTCACTGTGGATGGCTGTAGGTTCTTGAGGAATCCTCGGGCAAACCCTGTTGCCAATTACTTTTTTGGACTAATCAGTAGCCACACGAATTTGAATCATTCGTGTCCTTATGATGTAAGTACTCTAAATCAGATATATCACTCGATAGATTTATTCTCATGTTTCTTTTCGGCTTTAGCATGATATTATTTTGGATAAGCTTTCCATCGATTTTATAGATGATAAACTTACACGTGTTCTGCCCTTTCCTAAGGGCAGTTACCTATTCGAAACCCACTGGTATTCCGACAACATCAAACGTGTCGTGGTCAAAATTTATGGAACTCTTTCGTAAGTTAGGTATTTCCAAAAAAATAAAGAGAATATCTGCATATTTGAAACTTAAAAATGGTGTCGGTATAATAACCATATATAATATAATAACTTGGGCCTCGTGATGATCTGTTCCGCCTGAGTAGAGCAGTGGGGCAGAGTGTGGGACTGATGGCAGCCACAGCTGCAGTTGCACTGCCCCCTTCGAGGGCCCGCACTTGGATGACAAACAAATAATCATTTTGTTTCAGCTATTTGCTGCCATTTTTATTGAACTATATTTTGTCTGTCTCGTATAAATTTTTGCTAATAGTTGAAGGATTATGGTAGGGAGACACTCTACTCGTATGAGGCCTCACTCAGATGACAGCACAGAATTTTCGTACAAAATTGGTAGCCAACAAAAGTAGATCTAGATATCTAGATCTAGAAATCTAGATATCTAGAAATCATAATCATTTCAGGCGAGTGCGAGTGGGAGGTGGAGGAGGAGGTAGAACTTCTTGGAGCTAAATCCGGCCCGCACTTTGCTGGATAGATAGATAACAATAAAAGTCGTAAAAGTCAATGTATTTAATATATATAAATATATAAATCACGACCTTAGGTATACAAAAATAACGAAATTAATTGCTTTAATCGAACCGGATAGGTTCTTATTAGTAGTTATTAGACCGTTGCAGCTTATGGACGGTCCTATCAAAATCCAAATCAAGATTTATAAACATTATATGTCAAAATGAACCCATCTATACCCATAGAACTAATTTAGTTTTCGTCTGCTTTCGAAATGAACTGTCCAGTGCGGCTTGCGGTGCTCCTTTATCTGGTTGCTGAGGTATGAAGATCAATAAAACTCATTCTCAAGTAGGGGAACTTATAGTAAATCTGCATTCCAGATCCATTCAAAGTTTGAGTTCACCAACATGCAATGCACCTCTCTGGATGAAACATTTTCTAAATTTGATTATTGTTTTCTGAAGTCAGTGAATCGCAGCTACAAGTACATTTCCTTGAGAGCGAAATTGTTGCAGACTCCCATTACCAATGCCAAGGTGATTAGAGTGTCAAAAGTAACCCTGTAGATTCTATTCCTATATATGTATTACACATAGATAAATGCCGCCTTGTATCAACGTTTCAGTGGTTATAAGCCATTCCTTTATAATTTCACTGTGGATGGCTGTAAGTTCATGAAGAATCCTCAGACAAACCCTGTTGCCAATTACTTTTTTGGACTAGTCAGTAGCCACATGAATTTTAATCATTCGTGTCCCTATGATGTAAGTACTCTAAATCAGATCTCTCACTCGATAGATTTATTCTCATGTTTCTTTTCGGATTTAGCATGATATTATTTTGGATAAGCTTCCCATCGATTTTATAGATGATAAATTTACACGTGTTCTGCCTTTTCCACATGGCAGTTACCTATTGGAATCCCACTGGTATTCCGACAACATCAAACGTGTCGTGGTCAAAATTTATGGAACTCTTTCGTAAGTTAGGTATTTCCAAAAAAATAAAGAGAGTATCTGCATAATTTAAACTTTAAAATGGTGTCGGTATAATAACCATAATGGTAAATAAATAATAACCAGTATCGCCTGATTTATTTTCAAAGTATTTTGGGTTTTTAGCGACTAACTCCGCCCCTGAGTCTTGGGCCTCGTGATGATCTGTTACGCCTGAGTAGAGTAGTGGGGCAGAGTGTGAAACTGATGGCAGGCACAGCTGCAGTCCCTTCGTGGGCCTGCACTTGGAGGGCAAACAAATAATAATTTTGTTTGAGCTATTTGCTGCCATTTTTATATCCGTACTCAAAACAGAGTTAAGTATAGGGTAAGGTATAGGGTACAGGGTATATTAGATTTGTGGTAAAAGTGGATATGTGCAACGCAGAGAAGGAAACGTTTCCGACCCCATAAAGTATATATATTCTTGACCAGCATCAATAGCCGAGTCGATATAGCCATGTCCGTCTGTCCGTCCGTCCGTCTGTCCGTCTTGATGAGCGCCAGGATCTCAGAGACTATAAAAGCTAGAGCAACCAAATTTTGTTTTCAGACTCATGTGATATCACACTGCTACAAGTGTATTTCAAAATTTCGGCCCGCCTCCTTCCGCCCCCACAAAGAACGAAAATCTGTGGCATGCACATTTTTAAAGATACGATAAAACTAAAAAAACAGTATCGTAGAGAATGCATAAATCTACCAGACAGCCAAATCTGAATCAGATCAGATCATAATTATAGCCAGAATGAAGAAATTTAATTTGCAGTTGCTTCCCCGCCTCCCCAGCCAAAGAAACACTACTCATTCTTTTTCTCGATCGCACACTCTGCCGCGTTCAGTGCGCGAGCAACCCCTAGCGGAGGAGATGTAGAATCTTAATGGTACATGTACAATATACATGTTAGATGTAGAATATACATTGTAGAGTTAGATGTAGATAACAGATGTAGCAAAAAAATGTAAAATGTAACATTTTTTTTTTTAATTCTTAAATTCTCAAAAATCAAATGCTCAAAAATGTATGCTAACTGAGTACGGGTATAAGTAGAGTCGCATCCCCAGAAGCGACTCACACGTTCCTTCTCGTTTTAAACTATATTTTGTCATGTCACGTATACATTTTTGCTATTATTGCAGTTGGAGGATTATGGTAGGGAGAGACTCGTATGAGCCCTCACTCAGATGACTAGGCTGTAGCACAGAATTTTCGTATAAAATTGGTAGCTTACGAAAGTAGATCTAGATAACAGAAAATCAAACAGCAATCGAGCAGCAGGTAGAGGAGGAGCAATCTCTCTGCACTATGAGAACTTCTTAGAGCTAAATCCGGCCTGCCAATTGCTGGATAGATAGATGACAATAAAAGTCGTAAAAGTCAATGTATTCAATATATATAAATATATAAATCACGACCTTTGGTATACAAAAAAACGAAATTAATCGCTTTAATCGAACCGAATAGGCAATTACAAATAAATGTAGTTAATAGACCATTGCAGCTTATGGACGGTCCTATCAAAATCCAAATCAAGATGTATTAACATTATATGTCAAAATGAACCCATCTATACCCATAGAACTAATTTAGTTTTCGTCTGCTTTCGAAATGAACTGTCCAGTGCGGCTTGCGGTGCTCCTTTATCTGGTGGCTGAGGTATGAAGATCAATAAAACTCATCCTCAAGTAGGGGAACTTATAAGAAATCTGCATTCCAGATCCATTCAAAGTTTGAGTTCACCAACATGCAATGCACCTCTCTGGATGAAACATTTTCTAAATTTGATTATTGTTTTCTGAAGTCAGTGAATCGCAGCTACAAGTACATTTCCTTGAGAGCGAAATTGTTGCAGACTCCCATTACCAATGCCAAGGTGATTAGAGTGTCAAAAGTAACCCTGTAGATTCTATTTCTATATATTACACATAGATAAATGCCGCCTTGTATCAACGTTTCAGTGGTTATAAGCCATTCCTTTATAATATCACTGTGGATGGCTGTAGGTTCTTGAAGAATCCTCAGACAAACCCTGTTGCCAATTACTTTTTTGGACTAGTCAGTAGCCACATGAATTTTAATCATTCGTGTCCCTATGATGTAAGTACTCTAAATCAGATCTCTCACTCGATAGATTTATTCTCATGTTTCTTTTCGGATTTAGCATGATATTATTTTGGATAAGCTTCCCATCGATTTTATAGATGATAAATTTACACGTGTTCTGCCTTTTCCACATGGCAGTTACCTATTGGAATCCCACTGGTATTCCGACAACATCAAACGTGCCGTGCTTAAAGTTTATGGAACTCTTTCGTAAGTTAGGTATTTCCAAATGAATAAGGAGAGTATCTGTATAATTTAAACTTTAAAATGGTGTCGGTATAATAACCATAATGGTAAATAAATAATAATCAGTATCGCCTGATTTATTTTCAAAGTATTTTGGGTTTTTAGCGACTAACTCCGCCCCTGAGTCTTGGGCCTCGTGATGATCTGTTACGCCTGAGTAGAGTAGTGGGGCAGAGTGTGAAACTGATGGCAGGCACAGCTGCAGTCCCTTCGTGGGCCTGCACTTGGAGGGCAAACAAATAATAATTTTGTTTGAGCTATTTGCTGCCATTTTTATATCCGTACTCAAAACAGTTAAGGTGTATATTAGATTTGTGGTAAAAGTGGATATGTGCAAAGCAGAGAAGGAAACGTTTCCGACCCCATAAAGTATATATATTCTTGACCAGCATCAATAGCCGAGTCGATATAGCCATGTCCGTCTGTCCGTCCGTCCGTCTGTCCGTCTTGATGAGCGCCAGGATCTCAGAGACTATAAAAGCTAGAGCAACCAAATTTTGTTTTCAGACTCATGTGATATCACACTGCTACAAGTGTATTTCAAAATTTCGGCCCGCCTCCTTCCGCCCCCACAAAGAACGAAAATCTGTGGCATGCACATTTTTAAAGATACGATAAAACTAAAAAAACAGTATCGTAGAGAATGCATAAATCTACCAGACAGCCAAATCTGAATCAGATCAGATCAGATCATAATTATAGCCAGAATGAAGAAATTTAATTTGCAGTTGCTTCCCCGCCTCCCCAGCCAAAGAAACACTACTCATTCTTTTTCTCGATCGCACACTCTGCCGCGTTCAGTGCGCGAGCAACCCCTAGCGGAGGAGATGTAGAATCTTAATGGTACATGTACAATATACATGTTAGATGTAGAATATACATTGTAGAGTTAGATGTAGATAACAGATGTAGCAAAAAAATGTAAAATGTAAAATTTTTTTTTTTAATTCTTAAATTCTAAGAAATCAAATGCTCAAAAATGTATGCTAACTGAGTACGGGTATAAGTAGAGTCGCATCCCCAGAAGCGACTCACACGTTCCTTCTCGTTTTAAACTATATTTTGTCATGTCACGTATAAATTTTTGCTATTATTGCAGTTGGAGGATTATGGTAGGGAGAGACTCTACTCGTATGAGGCATCACTCAGATGACTAGGCTGTAGCACAGAATTTTCGTATAAAATTGGTAGCTTACGAAAGTAGATCTAGATAACAGAAAATCAAACAGCAATCGAGCAGCAGGTGGAGGAGGAGCAATCTCTCTGCACTATGAGAAGTTCTTAAAGCTAAATCCGGCCTGCCAATTGCTGGATAGATAGATGACAATAAAAGTCGTAAAAGTCAATGGATTTAATATATATAAATATATAAATCACGACCTTTGGTATAAAAAAATAACGAAATTAATCGCTTTAGTCGAACCGAATAGGAAATTACAAATAAATGTAGTTAATAGACCATTGCAGCTTATGGACGGTCCTATCAAAATCCAAATCAAGATGTATTAACATTATATGTCAAAATGAACCCATCTATACCCATAGAACTAATTTAGTTTTCGTCTGCTTTCGAAATGAACTGTCCAGTGCGGCTTGCGGTGCTCCTTTATCTGGTTGCTGAGGTATGAAGATCAATAAAACTCATCCTCAAGTAGGGGAACTTATAAGAAATCTGCATTCCAGATCCATTCAAAGTTTGAGTTCACCAACATGCAATGCACCTCTCTGGATGAAACATTTTCTAAATTTGATTATTGTTTTCTGAAGTCAGTGAATCGCAGCTACAAGTACATTTCCTTGAGAGCGAAATTGTTGCAGACTCCCATTACCAATGCCAAGGTGATTAGAGTGTCAAAAGTAACCCTGTAGATTCTATTTCTATATATTACACATAGATAAATGCCGCCTTGTATCAACGTTTCAGTGGTTATAAGCCATTCCTTTATAATATCACTGTGGATGGCTGTAGGTTCTTGAAGAATCCTCAGACAAACCCTGTTGCCAATTACTTTTTTGGACTAGTCAGTAGCCACATGAATTTTAATCATTCGTGTCCCTATGATGTAAGTACTCTAAATCAGATCTCTCACTCGATAGATTTATTCTCATGTTTCTTTTCGGGTTTAGCATGATATTATTTTGGATAAGCTTCCCATCGATTTTATAGATGATAAACTTACACGTGTTCTGCCTTTTCCACATGGCAGTTACCTATTCGAAACCCACTGGTATTCCGACAACATCAAACGTGTCGTGTTCAAAGTTTTTGGAACTCTTTCGTAAGTTAGGTATTTCCAAATGAATAAAGAGAGTATCTGCATAATTTAAACTTAAAAATGGTGTCGGTATAATAACCATATATAATATAATAACTTGGGCCTCGTGATGATCTGTTACGCCTGAGTAGAGCAGTGGGGCAGAGTGTGGGACTGACGGCAGCCACAGCTGCAGTTGCATTGCCCCCTTCGAGGGCCCGCACTTGGATGACAAACAAATAATCATTTTGTTTCAGCTATTTGCTGCCATTTTTATTGAACTATATTTTGTCATGTCTCGTATAAATTTTTGCTAATATTGCAGTTGAAGGATTATGGTAGGGAGAGACTCTACTCGTATGAGGCCTCCCTTAGATGACTAGGCTGTAGCACAGAATTTTCGTATAAAATTGGTAGCTAACGAAAGTAGATCTAGATAACAGAAAATCAAACATCAACAGAAATCATAATCATTTCAGGCGAGTGCGAGTAGGAGGGGGAGGAGGAATCTCTCTGCACTATGAGAACTTCTTGGAGCTAAATCCGGCCCGCACATTGCTGGTTGTGGCCGATTTCACGGTGCTCCTGCTGCTGCTGCTGCTCGTCTTGGTCACGGTTGTGGAGGCATTACTGCTGCTGCTGTTGATGCTGTTCTTTGTCGTAGTACTATTGTTATTATTATTATTATTATTATTAGTGTTGTTGTTGCTGGTAGTGGTACTGCTGACTGTTGTGATGCTGCTGCTGCTGGCACTCATCAGCAGAGGGCGACGTGGCGGCATTCGTTCATTGACTGCATCCAAGCCCTTGGCCTCGGCGAACGAGTGGATGTGCGAGGCTGCGGTCAGCCCTTGGAGAGCTGTATAAAAGTGAAAGTTAAGTTTAATAAAGATAGATAATAATAAAAGTCGTAAGAGTCAATGTATATAATATATATAAATCTCGACCTTTGGTATACAAAATTGCCGAAATTAATTGGTTAATCGAACCGGATAGGCAATTACAAACAAATGTAGTTAATAGACCATTGCAGCTTATGGACGGTCCTATCAAAATCCAAATCAATATTTATAAACATTATTTGTGGAAATGAACCCATCTCTACCCATAGAACTAATTTAGTTCTCGACTGCTTTCGAAATGAACTGTCCAGTGCGGTTTGCGGTGCTCCTTTGTCTGGTGGCTGAGGTATGAAGATCAATAAAACTCATCCTCAAGTAGGGGAACTTATAATAAATCTGCATTCCAGATCCATTCAAAGTTTGAGTTCACCAACATGCAATGCAATACTCTGGATGAAACATATGCCAAATTTGATTATTGTTTTCTGAAGTCAGTGAATCGCAGCTACAAGTACATTTCCTTGAAAGTGAAATTGTTGCAGACACCCATTACCAATGCCAAGGTGATTAGAGTGTCAAAAGTAACCCTATAGATTCTATTCCTTTATATTACACATAGATAAATGCCGCCTTGTATCAACGTTTCAGTGGCTATAAGCCATGCCTTTATAATTACACTGTGGATGGCTGTAAGTTCATGAAGAATCCTCGGACAAACCCTGTTGCCAATTACTTTTTTGGACTATTCAGTAGCCACACGAATTTTAATCATTCGTGTCCTTATGATGTAAGCACTCTAAATCAGATATCTCACTCGATAGATTTATTCTCATGTTTCTTTTCGGGTTTAGCATGATATTATTTTGGATAAGCTTTCCATCGATTTTATAGATGATAAATTTACACGTGTTCTGCCCTTTCCTAAGGGCAGTTACCTATTCGAAACCCACTGGTATTGCGACAACATCAAACGTGTCGTTGTCAAAGTTCATGGAACTCTTTCGTAAGTTAGGTATTTCCAAATGAATAAAGAGAGTATCTGCATAATTTAAACTTAAAAATGGTGTCGGTATAATAACGTTAATGGTAAATAAATATTAACCAGTATCGCTTGATTTATTTTCAAAGTGCCTTTTGTGTTTTTAATTTTTGATGCACGATGCAGATAGCGAACTCAGCCAATCGGCCAATAGAACTGTTAAATTCACTAGTTGAGAAACATTTGCAGAAACACAAAATACAGAACGAGGCATCGGGGATGACAATTCGTTAACGATTCCGATGGCTACGACTGATGGTTTTAGCTTGCTGATTTTCAACCATGAAATATATAGTATATCTAACGAAATGCCACATTAGGTACCAGAATATTAATTCTCGTTGATTGATTTTTAAATATATCTGTCTGGTTAGTGTTCCATCGGAAGTATCGTAAAGCGAGCTCAGTTCCCGTCAGTCCCTCAATGTTCAAAGATGTTCAACAAGCTTAACTTTCTGGTGTGGGTGGTCGTGCTACTGTATTCGATCGCTGAGGTATCTAGACTTCCCTCCATAAACCAAAAGATTTCCACCGCTATTGTTTGTTGCTTCTTTAAGATATCATCCAAATTTGAGTTTACAAACATCAAGTGCACTTCATTGGATGCAAAGTTTTCCGATTTCGAATATTGTTATTTGAGGTCGATCAATCGTACCTACAAGTATATGTCCGTGAAGGTGAATTTATTTGACACTCCCATCACCAAAATCAAGGTATGTATGTGACAGGGTGTTGGAAAATAGGATCTGATCGGTGTGAATGTTTCACGTTAAAATTGCAGGTGAATGGAGCCCTGTACAAGAGATTCAGCGGTTACAGACCGTTCATGTACAATGTGACGATAGATGCCTGCAGATTCCTGAGGGATACGGCGTCCAACCCCGTCGCAGGATACCTATTTAATTTCTTTAAAAAGTACTCCAATATGAACCATGCATGCCCGTATGATGTGAGTGGATTTTTTACTGCTTAAACATTTATAACTCAACCTTTTTCATTGTGTGCAGCACGATCTGATATTCGAAAAGCTTCCCATTGATTTTGTTAATGAACAGGCTACAAAAGTTCTACCCTTTCCGGAGGGGGATTACCTTTTAGAAACCAATTGGTTTGCCTACGACATCAAACGGGCTGTGGTGAAAGTCTATGGCACACTTTCATAAGTGAAATACCCTTGGTATAACTATGTTTTTTCCGTGTGCAAATGAGGATTTAAATTAAAATTGAATTTAATTTAAATTTAAATTGTATCCGTCTACTTTTCAATTATTTTCAACACTTTTACGGTGGCAGCATGCAAAAGCTTTCCATTAACTTTGTCAATAACATAATTACAGATATTTTGCCTTTTACTGAGGGAAATTTTTGGATAAAAATTCATTGCCAATTCAGATTGGTACTGAGAGATGGGGGGTATTCCTACAAGCTACTCCCAAACTTACCCTCCTTCAGGGAATCCTTTCCTCCAGACAACGCACCCACTGGCAAGGCGCCCGTTGGCGTCAGACCCTTCAGTTGCAGCACGCTTTCGGATTCCTCTCTGCAAAGTAATTGGAGTGATAATTCTTTGGGGATAGTCACACTTTAAAGAGAGTATGTGTGTGAACTTACCTGAGAATCGAGAAGACGCGCGACATCTTGCCAATGGCCCGTATTTTATTCCGTATTATCTCTTTGCGCAGCGCCGACATGGAAGCTGCGAATTGAGGGCTCAATTAGTCTGAAACTCTCTTGCTCGTGTGGGGAATGTAATGGGAAGCAGCGTCAAAGCTTGCGCTAAAGCTGATTAAAGCAGTGCAAAGCTCTCACTAAGCTTTTCTATCTCTCGGCTGCTTCTGCTGCTGCGGCGATGGCGGTGCCTCGGGCTCTAACCCTGGTTTAGGCATTGGCAATGGCATTGGCAGGGATGCTGTCTTTGGCTTTGGCTTTGGCATTGGCCTGCGCTTGGCACGGAGCTTACCTGGCTTGCTGGGCGGATTATTGTTATTGGTATTATTCGCGTTCGCCGGGACCAGTACAATTTTCTTGCGCAGCTCTTTATTTTCGAGCAGGTGTTTTGTTGTTTGTTGTTGTTGTTTGTTGTTGTTGTAGGTGGTTTTTGGTGTTTTTGAGTGGAAAGTCGGTTGGTTGTTTGGTGTGCACACAACATTTATATTTATATTTAAATGGTATACGTATTAGGGAAGGTTCGAGTAGTAGATTGCAGTTGTCGCATTTTGTTTTGGGGATTTTTGAAAATATTTTTAATAGAAGATTAGTTTGTAATTCCAGTGTATTTCTGTTTTTGTCGCCCACAAACACAACTAAAGCACTACGATATTCAGAGCACCTTCTATGGATATTAGTTCCGCTGCTGGAAGCCCCCTCCCACTTACCTTCCTCCAGCTCGTCATCGGGTCCGGCCACCAGCTCATCGTCCGAGCAAATGTTGAGGATATTCACCAGCATCTCGGTTACCTATTTATTTGAAATGTGAAATTTACGTAAGTTTCGTAAACAAATTTTTGTAGTGGAATGGATGGAACTCACCTTCTCGCCCACGAAGGGCAATGACCATGTGAAGACATCCATGAAGTTGGGCAGCCAGTAGGGATGGGGGGAGCAGTTGAACTGCCGAATGTTCATCACGTTGTTCTCGTACTTGAGCACAGCTGCCTTTTGTCAAATGCGTTCATTGGGGTTGACAAAATGAGAGCGATACGAGAGCAGAATCCACCGAATCCACCAAATAGAGAAGGTATTGCGAACGCGGTGCGAATAAAACGCGCACCAGCTCGCAATGCAGCCAATATAAATTTCGTTATTTAAAAATAGCAACAATAAAACTAACAACTAAACGGAATAAACAATTTAAGTTGGGAGCAAGAGGGGAAGAGAGATCATACCTTGTTGTTGTAAACATCCAAGTAGTTGGGGGCGGAGAAGATGGTGATGAGTGAGGGGAAGCCAGTTACCTGATTCTTCCGATACATGCGATAGCTATATGGGTTGGGAATATACAAATATATAGAATGATGCCAAAAGGATAGGAGATTTAATCGCACCCCGCATCCTGGGCTTCGTGTGCTCTCACTATGGACAGCAGATTGTTCTTCTGCAGGAACTCACAGCAGGCTGAATAGCTGAAGAAGTAGGAACAGCCTCTCACGGAGTTGTGGGAGAAAAACTCGTTCGTCTTCTCGTTGCCAAAGTCCTCCAGGGGATCGGACCACAGCAGATCGCACATGGGTCCATATGCCGGTGGTTCCCTGAATCGATTTAGCTAGAGAAACAAACACACACAAACACAGAGCACAGAGCCGGAGCACAGAGCGTTATAAATGCTGTAAAGATTTCAGCAGGTTTCTTATTTACGAGCATTACCGTCTTGATATCGTCGAGTGTGAAAATCTCTGGCGACAGACCGCCGTGGATGCACAGAAACTGCTGGTTGAGCAGGGCGGCCAGGGGCAGGCAGTCGAACGCTTCCATGCAGGCCTCGTAAATACTTTCCGAATACTTGATGATGCCTTCAAATAGAATAATGAGAGAGTCACAAATAGGGAAAGATTTATGCACTTGTTGTAGCTTTTAAAAACACATTAAATGCCAAAGACAACAACATCAACTAAATCTATATTCTGACATCCACGGATTTCAGAAGAGTGCAAAATGGCTGTGATGCAATGGAATACTATATATGTATATATATATATATATACATATGTCTTTAAAGTCTTGTGCATCATCTATGTATACCTTATGGAAAAAGTACAAAACATGAGAGTGAAAGCCCACTTACATTCTTGCTTGAAGGTGAAGTATTCCGTGAGGTGTCGGCACTCGTGATTGCCTCGCAGCAGCGACAGTGTGGTGGGGTAGGTTATCTTCAGGGACCACAGATACAGAACGCACTGAAAACGATACGATCGAAATAGCTACTTATTTCAGGCACATTTTAAAGGTATAACTCGACGCACCTCTATGCTGAAGTATCCCCTGTCCACGTAATCGCCCAGGAAGAGATATCTGGTTGTGGCTGGGGGTCCGCCAACCTCGAAAAGTTTAACCAAATCGAAGAACTGTCCGTGAATGTCGCCACAGACGGTGATGGGGGCCTCCACGTCGATCATGTTCTTCTCCTCGCGCAGCAGGTTGGCGCCTTCGTTGATGATGCGCAGGGCCACCGACTCCTCGACGCGGCCCTCGAGCAGGAAATGCTTGCGCAGTACATCGAAATTGGGCTTGCCCGTCTTCTCGTCGTCGTAGACCTCGGACATGGTAAGCTTGTGTGTGGGCGGCAGCGGGACATCTGGGGGAGGAATGCAAATGCATTGATAGTTTTGTAATAAACATTGCACTGACTGGTCCGGACTGGTCTGCTCTGATCGAACAGAACAGAACAGAACAGAGCTGTCTGGTCTCGATGTGGGTTAACGAGCCGCTGCAACTTATCGCCAATATTCGGGTTTGGCCGCTTTTCTTTTGCATTTGCGGATTTATGGGCCCCGCCAAAAAGAAATCGGGTGAAAAAAATAGATGCAGACAGCCCCGGCAAATCGGCAGGCACATGAATTTCATACGCTAATTACAAAATTTTGAATGAGTGAATATAAAAGTCGAAAATTGATTGGCACACACAAAAACAAACAACACACAGATAACACACACACACGCGCACACCATTGCTTAAGCCATTTTTAATTGTCATAATTTGGGCAAAATGTTAAAATTTGGACGCAATGGCCAATAAAATGCCAATGAGCATCCGTTGTTGTTTTTCATGGGTGCTCGACGATGATTAAAATTATTCTTATTTCACCCATAAAACCAGAACCAAAGAGAGCCGCCTTTCTATTTAAGCTTTTCCGGAAATTAATTTAGCACAAATATATATCGAAACTATTAAATTAACTGCCGAGAAATGTGTGCGGAAATGGGGATAATGACATCTTACAAAAACATTTCAGCTTCCACATCACAGAATTAAAAAGTATACAAGATTTCCCTTATAATTATATTTATTAACTATTTCGTACATCTTTGTTGAAGCTGAACTTGATTGATATGTTCCAACTTTTATGCAACATTTTTTTTCCTCGATATGAATAGAGAATAATTTAATTTGATTTTAATTAATGCACTCAATACATCAGAGTTGTACTGAAGCATGATTCCATGTCAATAAAGATATCATCATGAGAGAGATTCGTTTTTGGTCGAATGCATGATTGGAACTTGTCTCTTTGTATACAGACACACAGGGAAACGGCGTTGGAACGAACAACTTATCCCTTACAGAAACAGTTGAGAGAACATCTTCATTTTCCATTTGCAGGAAAGATGCCCGTTTAAGGAAAAGGGCTCTCTATAAAGAATATAAAAGGTCTGAATAATCCAAGAATTACTTTGAATTGAGGATGAAATAGAAGGAGGATTTGCTTTGTATTGGGAATCTTTATGTCGTATCGTATACATAATAGCAGGTTTCTTGGAAGGACACCCACGCTAGAAGTATTTTAGTACCACCAAGGAAGATATTAATCTATCAGACATGATTGAGCGGACTTTCTTCCCATGTATATTCCAGTTTATAAAATTCAGACACATATCCGCTTGCGAGACCAGTCCCCCCCAATTATTAGAACCAATTGATATATAAATTTACCATCGACCATGCGTTCCCTGGTTTTTGTGTACTGCATTTTCTGTCTGCTCCCTCCATTTGGTGGGGCTGCTGCTGTCGATGAGGTCTTTGAGGAGCTTGTCGAGGACTTTGTAGATTTTTCCGCCGTGGAACTTTTGCTCAGCGATGATTTTCTCGTCACCGAAGTTCGCGTAGAGGCGGACATGATTGTTGAATTTATTTATTTTCCGTTTTGTTTTTTAGTCTTTTATTAATTCTTTATGTGTTTTCACTGCTACTTTTGCTGTTGATTCTTTTTTTCAATCTGCTGCTTGATATAAATTTTTACGAGTTGATTTTTTGTGGGGATGGTGAAAGGGGGAACTGAAAGTGTTACTAGCACAAGAATTTTCAAATATTATACGGCAAATCGTTGGGCCAGCGTCGCTTTATGGACAGCGGGACACAGACGAGGGACACACCCGCACAAGAAAACACAAATATATTTAGGCAATAAATAAAATTTGTTGTTATATTGTATGGATGTGGACTTTCATATGCATATGTTTGTATATTTTTAGCCAGGCAATATCTATAGAGACAACTACGAGTAGTATCGTGTATTTCGCGCACACAAAATAAATGTTGAACAATTAATATTTCAATTTCGGGCAATTATTCAGCGACGTATTAACTTTTCATGCAGTCATCACATTGTTCTTGGCAGAAGGGCAGCACTTGAGCTCAATTGAGACGGAAAATTGCTCGACACTTTGTGCTAATTACCCACAAAAACAAACGCGCACCCAAATAGCCATACGAGAATGGAAATAGAAATAGAAATAATCGTAGAATCAAATAATCAGCGAAGATTGAGGAGCGACGACACACATAGATCACACTTTGGTCACACTTCGTTGCAGCCTAATCCTTGGGGGCTTTGTTGGTCTTAATGGTGTATGCTGTATGGTGTATGGTGGATGCTGCTGCTCGGAACGGGACTGCGACTAGGGCACCACGCAACGCATATCCCAAGTTGGCGCGCCGCAATTTTCCTCGAAACTGAGCGAAATTTTTGGCGTAACCAAATCAAAGCCCGAAGACGATCGGCATAAATCGGAGGCTCTCTCAGCCTCTCACTGGCTCTCAAGCTTCGCCCTTGACGTGCTCTTTCTCTCTCTCTATAAATAAACCTCTCTCTCTGTACATGTCTCTGTCGTGATCGTTCGTGACCATTCCTGATCGTTCGTGTTCGTTCGTAATTGCTGCGTAGGGTTCTTGTCTCCGCTCTGGCTGCAAGAGCATAAATAAATACATATGTACATGTGTGTGTGCATGCATGTCGAACTATTTTTATTGGGTTAATGTCACACACGCACTCGTGTGACAGAGAGAGAGTGAGAGGGAGAAATTAGCGTTGCCCTTCTTCGATTGTTGCTCCCTCTGCGGTCCCACTGACCTTCATAGACATTTACACATCTGCCTTTGCTCCCCCATTGTCAGCTCCATCCCATTCCCATTTCCATTTCCACATCCGCTCTCAATGCTTCTCAACTTGACCGTGAGACGCATCGTTGTCCGATTGTCCGTGATATTGATTGTGTGCGTATGGGTATACATATTTATTGGTGTATGGGTGTGTGTTTGCTAGAAATTGGGCGCCAATAGGTGGGTGTCGCTATAATTATAGTCTTGACTTTGTGCGCGCCTCGTGCAAAAATATATACAATATGTGTTCTACCATCAATCGGGTATATCTTCAGCGATCTGGGATTGGGCATAGCTGAGTATAACAAAGGCAAGTACTTTCTGCAGTCAATCACTTCTCGCAGTTTTTTTTAAGATTGTATCTTTATTTTCGTTAGTATTAACATTGAATAAAAATTAATAAGGGTATTTCCATTTCTGCATGCCATTCAGATCCACTAGTGGAACCCCAATTTCATGCAACTTTTATGCGGAGCGTGGCAACATTTTAATAACCATCTGTGTGCACACCCATACACATTCATGTCCGTGCGGTTTGTGTGTTTGCCTTGTCAATGTTTTTTGTCGTGATGGTCAATTGATATGTACGCTGACTGTTGGACTGAAACGATATATGTATGTATTATTCACATATGTACGTATGTATAGTGCTGGGAATGATGTCGCCCGGTGTGGAATCAATCTCGATCAATGCCAGTGCAGCCGCAGCTGGCGAAATGCGCATCGATACGAGTGGCACTCGATGCAATCATAGCACTCGGAGCAGCCGATTTGGCAGAAAGTGGACGAATCTTTTTACTTTGACGCCCACACAGGAACCACAGAGACGGTGAGGGAGAGGGGGAGAGAGAGAGAGACAAAGACAGAGACAAAGGCCAGTCACACGACTAGAAAAAAGCACTTTCCGGTGCTAACCAGATGATGTGGGGCGCTGGTAGCGATTTGCATTATAGTCGCGACTTTTTGGCAAATGCGCTGACAGCTCGGCCCAGTCCAGACCCCTGTCCTGCCGCTCTGCTCCGATTCTTCAGTCGCCGATGGCTATATATACACCTTTTGATATGTGCTCAGTTTTATGGCCGAAAATATATCGCTGGCAGCGTACGAGTACGAGCATTTAAGTGCAATTAAGAGGCGAAAAGGGATCGCATCCGCAGGAGATTAATCGAGAGCCACTCGGAATTGATAGTTCCACATACTCGTAGTAGTAGTGCTTCTAGACTAAACACATTTAATTAAATTGCATGTACATGCATGTGTCGTGCTCATTGGGGTGTGCACATGGTATGCCATGTCTCCTCCTGCTCCTCCTCCTCCTCCCCAAAGAGATTTGCTTGAATAATTCGCCAGTCAGGTTGAGTCAAGTTGTTGGCATATCAGCGCTGACACTTTGAACACTCGTTTCGTCATGTTGGCATGTCACAAAATCTTCAATCTGTTATATGTATGTATGTATATTTTTGAAAGTGCGAAAATAGCCAAATACTTTTACCCAAAAACATCTGAAGAGCACGCGTAATGGTCGAGTATTTTTAAAACAAAGTTTTTTTATGCTCAGACGGACGCTGATTCAGTTCTTATAAACAAAGCGTATTGAAAAGATAATATTGACACGTAACGAAAACATTTCATTCATTGTTTGGACTTTTTTTGCTTTTCCGATCTGCGGCTGTTTTGGGTTCTCTTTGTGGTCACTGTCTAAACAACAATTCAGTTAAATTATGTATGTGGGCTATGGCTGCGAGATGGTCCATTTGTGGGCTATAACAAAATAAGAAATTAAATTTATTATCAGGCGGCACTCAGTTCCTTTCATTAAGTAAATTTAATATATTTTCTTTCCTATGATACCAATAAATATTCCTTCATTATCTCATCCACCAGATATGGTGAAAGCTTAGGCGCTAAAAGCTCAGCAGGTACAGCCACCCACCGTTAAACAGCTGTGTATTCGGCAATGCTCAAAAATCTCTTTGTTTATACCCTGTACTGGAAAAGTCATATTGTGTTATTATATTGCTCTGGAGATTATTGTAGGCGATGCTGTTACAATTCCAGGGATATCCTGCGGTATCCACAACCTTTGAGATAGTTCCATCTTCCAGCTCAACAATACAGCTCGCAGCACGAGTAACCTCTAGTCTGGAACGTCAACTATTGTTCATGTCTGCGGCTGCCATTTTACAAATTGATAAACTTTGCAGTTATCATTGTTTATGTATCTTTTTTGGTCTCTGGGCCCGTTTTTAACCTCTTCACTCTTTGCTTTCTCGTTGCCAAACATTTTCCGACCCAATTTTTTTTGTTGGATTGCTTTCCTCACATTTGTTTGCTTGGGATTTGCCAAAAACAGAAGGAGCTCACAAAAAACAAAGCCAAAACTTCAAACATACATATACAAAAAAGGCAGCACAAATTTTTATTGAATTGATTTATTGACTTACTTATTTAGGCACTCAACGCTCATAGATAACGCTCATAGGAACCTTTTTCTCCCATTTCTTTTGTTTTCCTGAGAAGTTCACTGAGGGGCCCAAAATAAATATTTAGTTTTCATTTATACAATTTTCCCATACCTCTTTTTTTTAGAATATTTTGCTCCCTGTTTGGGGCCAGTTTTGTGTTTGACTTTATTTTGGGTTAAAGCGGGGCCATAAAAAACTTGTAAATTGAGGAGGAGAGGAAGAAGGAGCGGATAAGTCCGCATACCTGTGCCTACGTTCAAGTCGAGATAAATCTAACAAAATAGACCTCAGAAGTGTTTATAAATTAAAAAAGCCAATGACTGATATAACATTTGGGTCATTTATTTAAATTCAAACTAATGTCCCATTATAAGTAGGTATTCCCTTTCTTTTATTTAAGAAAAGGTGCCATACACTTTGGTCACAGCGATGAGAGATCCCGAGCGATACCAATAAGCCTCAATAAGATAATCGCCCTCAGGAAATTGCAGAATCTGTGTAAATCGGTGATTGATAAATTCAACAGGAACCTTATCCACAATAATGTCATGCTGCAAAGAGTTAAGTGGTTATGAGTTAATGGTTTTTACACCTTTCACTTACATTGTAGGGACATGAATGGTTTATATTGGAGAAGGTCACAACCGATTCATAGAAGAATTTGGCCACAGGACTGGACTTGGGATTGGCAAAAAATTTACAGGCGTTGACAGTAATGTTGTAGAGGAAAGGCTTGTATCCGTTGAATCTCTTCATCAACACTAAATTGAACTGAAATTATTATTAAATAATAAATAATTATTAAATAATAATTATTAAAAGAAATTATTGTTGCGACCTACATATTTTTAGATTGTTAACCGGAAGTTGATAAAGCTTAAATTTCATGGAAAGATATTTATAAGTCCGATTTCAGATAGAAGTAGTCAACCTCCCCGAAATTCTTATCCAAGGAAGTGAACTTGATGTTCGTAAACTCAAACCTGGAATGGATCTAGAAGCTTTCATCGTTTGTACATGACACATCAATATTATTGTAGTTATTGCATACTTCCGTAATTAAATGTAAGATCAAAACGATCCGCACCAGACTCATTTTAGGGGTCATCCTGCTATTTCGACGCACCAAAGAAGACTGCAGCTCCACAGAAATTTGTATTTGGCTTTTAATACATCACCTCTATTAATTAAAATCTGTGGTCACTCAAACACATTTGTTCAAGCATTTTAAAATAGATTTGTAACAATAATTTATTTTTCATTTTTCAATTAAAAAGGCAATAATTTGAGCAAGTCAGTTATTGTTTATTGTTAAAAAATAAATATTCAGCACACACACATATAGCTACTTATATCCCACAACGAAGCTTTGGTTCACTTTTGCTTATTCTATTAGCATGACAAGTCGTGTGCAACGAAAAAAATTTAAGAAAACGGAATATATTAAAATAAAATAAAACTAATAACAGCATTTATGATTAAACATTAAACATTAAACTGTGTTTTTATTCAAGCATTTTAAAATAGATTTGTAACAATAATTTATTTTTCATTTGTTTGAAATCGTTTAGAAACACATTTAATATTAAAAAGGCAATAAATTGGAGCAAATTAGCTTAAGTTTTTATTTATATCTTATGACATTGATTATTAATTTATTCTCTTTCTTTTATTTAAGAAAGGGTGCCATAAATTTTGACCACAGCAAAGGGAGATCCCGAGCTAGACCAATATGCATCAAAGAGATAATCGCCCTCGGGAAATTGCAGAATCTGTGTGAATCGGTGATTGATAAATTCAACAGGAACCTTATCCACAATAATGTCATGCTGCAAAGAGTTAATGTTATGAGTTATGAGGTTATGAGTTAATGGTACTTACAGCTACACCTTTCACTTACATTGTAGGGACATGAATGGTTCAAATTGGAGAAGGTCACAAACGATTCATAGAAGAAATTGGCCACAGGACTGGACTTGGGATTGGCAAAAAATTTGCAGGCGTTGACAGTAATGTTGTAGAGGAAAGGCTTGTATCCGTTGAATCTCTTCATCAACACTAAATTTAACTGAAATTATTATTAAATATTAAAAGAAATTATTCTTGCGACATACATACTTTTAGATTGTTAACCGGAAGTTGATAAAGCTTAAATTTCATGGACAGATATTTATAAGTCCGATTCACCGATTTCAGATAGCAGTAGTCAACCTCCCCGAATTTCTTATCCAACGATGTAAACTTGACGTTCGTAAACTCAAACCTGGAATGGATCTAGAAGCTTTCATCGTTTGTACATGACACATCAATATTATTGTAGTTATTGCATACTTCCGTAGTTAAATGTAGGATCAAAACGATCCGCACCAGAGAACTCATCTTATGGGTCATCCTGCTATTTCGACGCACCAAAGAAGACTGCAGCTCCACATTAATTTGTATTTGGCTTTTAATACATCACCTTTATTAATTAAAATCTGTTGTCATTTAAACACATTTGTTCAAGCATTTTAAAATAGATTTGTAACACTAATTTATTTTTCATTTGCATGAAATCGTTTAGAAACACATTAAAAAGGCAATAAATTTGAGCAAATAAATTTAAGTTTTTATTAATTATTTTTGACATTCATTATTAATTTTTTCCCTTTCTTTTATTTAAGAAAGGGTGCCATTCCCCTTGACCACAGTGATCCCGAGCGAGACCAATAGGTCTCAATGAGATAATCGACTTCAGGAATTTAATTTAAAATATATTAAAATACTGAATTAATGGAAATTTACTTTATGAGGTTCTCAAATCGTTTGAAAATAATTTAAACAATAAAAAATTAAAAATTTCGAGCAAAAATTAATTTTTTCATTGTGTATTTAATTTAAGAGAGGGTTCCATATAATCTGAACATTGCACTTAAATTTCCGAAACGAATCCAACGTAATTCAACGAGATAGTCCCCTTCAGGAAATTGAAGAATTTCAGTTACCCGTTGATTGACGAAGTCAGTCGGAAGCTTTTCCATAATGATATCATGCTGAAAGGAACAAAGTAAGGTTTTGGTTCATTAGAATGCTGATTTGAGCCCCATAAGCTCCCAATGAACTATGCCAACCATCCATTTGCAAAGAGTCTGGGGCGATTCTACGTACATTGTAGGGACATGTGTGGTTCACATTGGAGAAGCCCGCAACCGATTCGTAAAAGAACTTGATCACACGATTGGAGTTGATGTTGCGAAGGTATTTGCAGGCATCAAAAGTAACATTGTATAGAAAGGGTTTATAACCATTATATCTCTTCCACAATGAAAAATTTATCTGTACGATAAAAAATGATAAATATTATATTTTGAATATATTTAAACATACCCTTATAGCCTTGACGGGAAGAACATAAAGTTTATATCTTGCGGAGAAATATTTATAGGAGCGATTCACAGACTTCAGATAGCAGTAATCAAACTCCCCGACTTTCGGATCCATTGAAGTGCAGTTGATGTTCGTAAATTCCAGCCGGGAATATATCTGGAATATTGTATTATCAGTATATTTAAATGGAACTTCAATGTTTCGATATATACTTCCATAACTAAATGTAGGATCACTATGATTTGGATCCAACAATTCGACCTGGAGCCCATCCTTCAATTTCAATGGTGCCACGAAGACTAGTTCCAAAATCTAAAAGCTGACATCATTTGAGTGATTAAAATTATTTTTTTTAAATGGCTAATTAACCAAAAAAAGTAATTCCGTATCGTTTACAGTATCGTTTAGCAATGTGAATTCAATGACTGCGCAGTTCGCAACGATTATTGTTTTATTTCACTCATCAATTATTTTATTCATGACTGTTTAAAACAAGAATTTAGCCACCCAGTTGGAATTCTTGTTGTCAAGCCCCCACAGTGATGTTGTAGAGTAAGGGTTAATATCCATTGAGTCCCTTCCATAGTGCCACATTTATCTGAAATTATTCAAATGGATTATTAATATGGATTGTAATAGCATAGCTAAACACCTTCATAGCAGCAACTGGAACCTGATACATTTTTAGTCTTCCGGAAATGTATTTGTAGGTTCGATTGACCGACTTCAGAGAGCAGTATTCGAATTCGGTGAGATTTCTCTTTTTTCTATTTCTAGCACAGTTTGAAAACTCAAACCGGGAATGGATCTGAAAGAGGACTGCTTCATTCCATTGGAGTAGGCGTCCTGCGCTGCAATACTTACTTGCAAAATTGCAAAATGAACTGAATCAGAGAAGATTTCGTGTAGTGTCGACGAAAATGGGTCGTTAAATGATCAAAAATTAACTAAAACACAGACGTAATTTGAATAATTAGTTGCTTTGTATGGCCCATAACGTTGTCCACCGTTTATAAGCCCATTTATTAATATTAAGTCATTCGAATTTACGCAAATTAGTTCGAGCATTTCAGCATTTCTAGTCAACTGAGCAACAAATATAACGTAATTATAGTAGGGAGAAATATAATTTGGCAGAGGCGCTCCAATTTCCAAATCGAAGCCAGTGCATTTCGAGCAAATAATCGCCATTGGGAAAGGGCAGAAGTTTCGATAATCGTGGTTCGAGAAAGTCGTATGGTAGCTCCATCATTAAATCATGCTAAAAAGAGTTTGGCATTAAACAGTTCTGGTTTAAAAATCAAGATTTACACTCACATTGTAGGGGCATGAATGGTTCAAATTTGAGAAGCTCGATAATATTTCTATGAAGAAATTAGACACAGTGTTCCTGGTGGATTATTTTAAAGCGGGGCCATAAAAAACTTGTAAATTGAAGAGGAGAGGAAGAAGGAGCGGATAAGTCCGCATACCTGTGCCTTCGTTCAAGTCGAGATAAATCTAACAAGATAGTAACATTGTTCCAGTCAGAACGAGTTCTTAATCGCCCCATTGACCTCAGAAGTGTTTATAAATTAAATAAGCCAATGACTGATATAACATTTGAGGCATTTATTTAAATTCAAACTAATGTCCCATTATAAGTAGGTATTCCCTTTCTTTTATTTAAGAAAGGGTGCCATACACTTTGGCCACAGCGATGGGAGATCCCGAGCGATACCAATATGCCTCAATGAGATAATCGCCCTCGGGAAATTGCAGAATCTGTGTAAATCGGTGATTGATAAATTCAACAGGAACCTTATCCACAATAATGTCATGCTGCAAAGAGTTAAGTGGTTATGAGTTAATGGTACTTACACCTTTCACTTACATTGTAGGGACATGAATGGTTTATATTGGAGAAGGTCACAACCGATTCATAGAAGAATTTGGCCACAGGACTGGACTTGGGATTGGCAAAAAATTTACAGGCGTTGACAGTAATGTTGTAGAGGAAAGGCTTGTATCCGTTAAATCTCTTCATCAACACTAAATTGAACTGAAATTATTATTAAATAATAAAAAATAAATAGTTATTAAATAATAATTATTAAAAGAAATTATTGTTACGACCTACATACTTTTAGATTGTTAACCGGAAGTTGATAAAGCTTAAATTTCATGGACAGATATTTATAAGTCCGATTCACCGATTTCAGATAGAAGTAGTCAACCTCCCCGAATTTCTTATCCAAGGAAGTGAACTTGATGTTCGTAAACTCAAACCTGGAGTGGATCTAGAAACTTTCATCGTTTGTACATGACACATCAATATTATTGTAGTTATTGCATACTTCCGTAATTAAATGTAAGATCAAAACGATCCGCACCAGACTCATTTTAGGGGTCATCCTGCTATTTCGACGCACCAAAGAAGACTGCAGCTCCACAGAAATTTGTATTTGGCTTTTAATACATCACCTCTATTAATTAAAATCTGTGGTCACTCAAACACATTTGTTCAAGCATTTTAAAATAGATTTGTAACAATAATTTATTTTTCATTTTTATGAAATCGTTTAGAAACACATTTGAAATTAAAAAGGCAATAATTTGAGCAAGTCAGTTATTGTTTATTGTTAAAAAATAAATATTCAGCACACACACATATAGCTACTTATATCCCACAACGAAGCTTTGGTTCACTTTTGCTTATTCTATTAGCATGACAAGTCGTGTGCAACGAAAAAAATTTAAGAAAACGGAATATATTAAAATAAAATAAAACTAATAACAGCATTTATGATTAAACATTGAACATTAAACTGTGTTTTTATTCAAGCATTTTAAAATAGATTTGTAACAATAATTTATTTTTCATTTGTTTGAAATCGTTTAGAAACACATTTAATATTAAAAAGGCAATAAATTGGAGCAAATTAGCTTAAGTTTTTATTTATATCTTATGACATTGATTATTAATTTATTCTCTTCTTTTATTTAAGAAAGGGTGCCATAAATTTTGACCACAGCAAAGGGAGATCCCGAGCTAGACCAATATGCATCAAAGAGATAATCGCCCTCGGGAAATTGCAGAATCTGTGTGAATCGGTGATTGATAAATTCAACAGGAACCTTATCCACAATAATGTCATGCTGCAAAGAGTTAATGTTATGAGTTATGAGGTTATGAGTTAATGGTACTTACAGCTACACCTTTCACTTACATTGTAGGGACATGAATGGTTCAAATTGGAGAAGGTCACAAACGATTCATAGAAGAAATTGGCCACAGGACTGGACTTGGGATTGGCAAAAAATTTGCAGGCGTTGACAGTAATGTTGTAGAGGAAAGGCTTGTATCCGTTGAATCTCTTCATCAACACTAAATTTAACTGAAATTATTATTAAATAATAAATAATAAATAATTATTAAATAATAATTATTAAAAGAAATTATTCTTGCGACATACATACTTTTAGATTGTTAACCGGAAGTTGATAAAGCTTAAATTTCATGGAAAGATATTTATAAGTCCGATTCACCGATTTCAGATAGAAGTAGTCAACCTCCCCGAATTTCTTATCCAAGGAAGTGAACTTGATGTTCGTAAACTCAAACCTGGAGTGGATCTAGAAACTTTCATCGTTTGTACATGACACATCAATATTATTGTAGTTACTGCATACTTCCGTAATTAAATGTAAGATCAAAACGATCCGCACCAGAGAACTCATCTTATGGGTCATCCTGCTATTTCGACGCACCAAAGAAGACTGCAGCTCCACAGAAATTTGTATTTGGCTTTTAATACATCACATAACATTACATCTATTAATTAAAATCTGTTGTCATTCAAAAACATTTGTTCAAGCATTTTAAAATAGATTTGTAACAATAATTTATTTTTCATTTTTATGAAATCGTTTAGAAACACATTAAAAAGGCAATAAATTTGAGCAAATAAATTTAAGTTTTTATTAATTATTTATGACATTCATTATTAATTTATTCCCTTTCCTTTATTTAAGAAAGGGTGCCATACCCCTTGACCACAGTGATCCCGAGCGAGACCAATAGGTCTCAATTAGATAATCGACTTCAGGAATTTAATTTAAAATATATTAAAATACTGAATTAATGGAAATTTACTTTATGAGCTTCTCGAATCGTTTGAAAATAATTAAAACAATAAAAAATTAAAAATTTCGAGCAAAAATTAATTTTCTCATTGTGTCTTTCATTTAAGAGAGGGTTCCATATAATCTGAACATTGCACTTAAATTTCCGGAACGAATCCAACGTAATTCAACGAGATAGTCCCCTTCAGGAAATTGAAGAATTTCAGTTACCCGTTGATTGACGAAGTCAGTCGGAAGCTTTTCTATAATGATATCATGCTGAAACGAACAAAGTAAGGTTTTGGTTCATTAGAATGCTGATTTGAGCCCCACAAGCTCCCAATGAACTATGCCAACCATCTATTTGCAAAGAGTCTGGGGCGATTCTACGTACATTGTAGGGACATGTGTGGTTCACATTGGAGAAGCCCGCAAACGTTTCGTAAAAGAACTTGATCACACGATTGGAGTTGATGTTGCCAAGGTATTTGCAGGCATCAAAAGTAACATTGTATAGAAAGGGCTTATAACCATTATATCTCTTCCACAATGAAACATTTATCTGTACGATATAAAATGATAAATATTATATTTTGAATATATTTAAACATACCCTCATAGCCTTGACGGGAAGAACATAAAGTTTATATCTTGCGGAGAAATATTTATAGGAGCGATTCACAGACTTCAGATAGCAGTAATCGAACTCCCCGACTTTCGGATCCATTGCAGTGCAGTTGATGTTCGTAAATTCCATCCGGGAATATATCTTGAATATTGTAATATGACCATCAGTATATTTAAATGGAACTTCAGTGTTTTGATATATACTTCCATAACTAAATGTAGGATCACTATGATTTGGATCCAACAATTCGACCTGGAGCCCATCCTTCAATTTCAATGGTGCCACGAAGACTAGTTCCAAAATCTAAAAGCTGACATCATTTGAGGGCTTAAAATTATTTTTTTTAAATGGCTAATTTACCAAAAAAAGTAATTCCGTATCGTTTAGCAATGTGAATTCAATGATTGCGCAGTTCGCAACGATTATTGTTTTATTTCACTCATCAATTATTTTATTCATGACTGTTTAAAACAAGAATTTAGCCACCCAGTTGGAATTCTTGTTGTCAAGCCCCCACAGTGATGTTGTAGAGTAAGGGTTAATATCCATTGAGTCCCTTCCATAGTGCCACATTTATCTGAAATTATTCAAATGGATTATTAATATGGATTGTAATAGCATAGCTAAACACCTTCATAGCAGCAACTGGAACCTGATACATTTTTAGTCTTCCGGAAATGTATTTGTAGGTTCGATTGACCGACTTCAGAGAGCAGTATTCGAATTCGGTGAGATTTCTCTTTTTTCTATTTCTAGTACAGTTTGAAAACTCAAACCGGGAATGGATCTGAAAGAGGATTGCTTCATTCCATTGGAGTAGGTGTCCTGTTCTGCAATACTTACTTGCAAAATTGCAAAATGAACTGAATCAGAGAAGATTTCGTGTAGTGTCGACGAACCGATTAAGACTGTGTATTGATTGGGAATTTTTACTGGAAAATGGGTCGTTAAATGATCAAAAATTAACTAAAACACAGACGTAATTTGAATAATTAGTTGCTTTGTATGGGCCATAATGTAATCCACCGTTTATAAGCCCATTTGTTAATATTAAGTCATTCGAATTTACGCGAATTAGCATTTCAGCATTTCTAGTCAACTGAGCAACAAATATAACGTAATTATAGTAGGGAGAAATATAATTTGGCAGAGGCGCTCCGATTTCCAAATCGAAGCCAGTGCATTTCGAGCAAATAATCGCCATTGGGAAAGGGCAGAAGTTTCGATAATCGTGGTTCGAGAAAGTCGTATGGTAGCTCCATCATTAAATCATGCTAAAAAGAGTTTGGCATTAAAACACTTTTGGATTAAAAATCAAGATTTTCACTCACATTGTAGGGGCATGAATGGTTCAAATTTGAGTAGCTCGATAATATTTCCATGAAGAAATTAGACACAGGGTTCCTGGTGGATTTGTCTAGCACTTTGCAGCCTTCGAAGGTGAAATTATAAAGGACCGCCTTCGTGTCATGGTATCGCCTGAAGAGTGCCATATTAATCTGATCGGAAGCAGGGAATTCCTTAAGGCCTGTGTAATATTTATATATAAATGGTGTCTACATGCCTTGATTTTGGTGACAGGATATTTGTATATTTCCATTTTTGCAAGCACAATTTTGTGTGTCCGGTTTACTGCCTTTATGGAGCAAGTGATTTTACTAAAACCCTCATCCAAAGAAAAACAATCGGTTTTTGTGAGCACAAACACGCACGTAATCTGAAAGTTGATTGCATTCATAATGTGGTGATATATGATATAGCATATTGAAAAGTACTCCTGTTACTAAACATAGGTTCAGAATGAGCCAAGTGAGAGTGTTTCTCTGAGGGTACATCTCGAAGTGCCGATAAGCCAGCGAAAACTAAAAGCCGATTCTGTTTCGGGGACATTAAACATCAAACTTTTCAGAAATGGGACACTAATGAGTTCATTATTCATTTCATTATCTAGATCAGTGATTGTCACCCATAGTTCTAATGGGACATTTATCCGGTGGTTCAAAACGATTTTAAAATACACAAAAAATAGCTCTAGTTCTAAATTCGAGTTCACAAACCAATAAAGTACTGAGCTTATCCGCTTAAATCGTTTGCTAAAATTAGTTTTGGTTTCCAAAACAAATGAATATGTTTTTTATCACATAAATCATCATCAAAGGGCCTTGAGCACCTTCATAAGCAAACAATAAATGTTCGGAAGAGAATGAAAAGCGATAAAAATTATATTGCCTGTCCGTAAACTACAAGGACAGACAGGGAAATCAATTAAATGCATTTGCCCAAGTCTCATCAGTTCTCTTCAAGCCTTTGCTGTGCTCTTAAACCATCTCCTTTTTTTCTTTCCCTCTTTTTTTTAACCATCTCTCTCTTTGGTATTTTACTCATTCCCTTTCCCTTTAAGTTGTTATAATTTATTGCGTCTATAATTACAGCAATTTGTGAGAGGGGCAAATGGGGGCAGCGAACCTCATCCACCTCCATTCGAGTGGACGTATTTGCGCTAGGACTTATGTACAATATCCCACATATGGCCACCTCCCTCCCTATCCTTTGCTTTCTGGCAATTGCTTTCCTTTTTCTCATACTTTTTTGTCGTCTCTGTTGCAGGCAAAATGTCAGCATCGTTCAGGACACTTACCTCCGTCTCTGCTGCGGTCCATGCTGCTGCTTGATTGCACTTTTAATTAACTTTTTTGCTCCTGATATTCCTCCCTCCTTTGCTTCAGGTTCCGCTTCTGTTCCGGCTGCTATACCGGCTGCTCCTGCAGCTCCTGTTTCCACCAATTGTCGTCACTTTGTGCCTTTACCTTTCGCCTCGTCATTAACAAAGGAAAACAAGTCGCGCATGAGGCCATAAATAATTGAAATGCCACCCACAGCCCGTTCCACTCCACTCCACTCCACAAATTATTTGTAGACAATTTAAGCGCCAGCCTCAGGGGAATATCCTGCATGATGCATAATTCTGCCCACCGGCCAATATGTTAATTCAATTTGCTTCATTGTAATCAGTAGCAGCAACAAATTGGGGAAATCCCACAAATATTTTCCAACCACTGCCTGAATCAGCCCAAATTCAGGCCCCAGAGACAGAGACAGAGACAGGTGAGCATTTGGCAGTGCAGGCACGCGTAATGTTATGATTGGAAAATGAAAATCATTTACGTGAGCAACCAATTTGCAGCTCATATAAAGCACATCTAGCGGCAATGTGCATTACCCACAAACAGGCCCATGGAAATCGTGTGTGCAAATTAATGTGCGCCACGTGACGAGCATAGCGATAGGTACAGCAATCATAAAAAAGCCTGGCCCAAAGGCCTACACTAGTCTGATGTTTGTTGGAGTCGATTTGATCGTCTACTGATATACTTCACACGGCGGTTATGTGTCATTGAATGGAGGAATGGAGATGGATGGTATAGGATATACTTCCTGGAAGTATTAAAGTGAACCTCATGTGGGGCCAGATGTATGTATTTCTCCTCTGGGTAATATTTAATAATTTCAACAATCCTCATGGACTGGACAAGTTTATATGTATGTGCTCATGCAATGGAACCCCTTCGTGTTTCCGCTTGAGTGCAAATTAATTGAGCTTAAACCATTTGCCTGGGCGATTCGTGTGGTTTTTGAACTGTCAACGCATCAATTAATTAACCATTAGGAATTGCGTTCATTGCAGCTTCCAGAACGGGGAATGTTTTGTGATGTTTGCGGTTGTCATAATTACCAAAACCCCATCGCTCAACGGCTCGGACAACTGCAAATGGAGTTGTGGCACAGTTGGCAACTGTCAAAGCTTCGGACCCCGTACCTAATGTACCATAACGATGCCCCCACAAGCGTACAAATATCGAGTAATTACGACCTCTGACCTTGGGTGGTTGCCTCTTGGACTCCTCCTTCTTGACAGGCCACAAGGGAATTTCGAGAATGAGTGGGCACTCGGTGCCGTGGGATTCTCAAAATTTTGATTCAATTTCCCCCGCAGAGAGCAAAGCGCTTTCGTTTGGTGCGTCGGCCAATTAAAAATAATTTAATATCGCGTTGTATTAATTTCATTTCAAGTTCTTGGTGTTCCGTTCCCTTCTGACAAATTGAATGGCCTGCTCGCTCGGCCCCGTGGTGTCTGCTGGGTTTCTGGCTCTCCTGTGGCCTGGTGCCTGTCTCTGGCTGGCTATTAGTTTGTAAATCATATTTATTTATTAATTTTAATTGCATTGGGCAGGTGGGAACAGACGAACGGACGGAGAAACGCCGAACCAAACCTGCAAATGTAATTTCCACTTCAGGGGCAGAGGCATAACCGGCTGACAGGGATTGTGTTTCTCTGGAGGTTACTCTCTCGTTAAATGAATGTTAGGGAATTACTACAATTCAGTTGTACATTGCCACGTACATTTTCTTTAGTTTTAATATTTATTATGCATGGCAATGTATTCCTTAAATATTTTAAAACTTGAAAACTTGTTTCTACCCTAATCTCCAAAAAAACCTTTGATCGTTTCTTATCGTTTCTGTGCTTTATGCACAACCAACTTTGAGAGAGCGAATTTTAGAGCTGCCTTTCATTTCAATTACAAATGTATCTTGCTTTTCCAATTCCATTTTGCCATATCCCCTCTCGGAGATATTGCCCTCACTCCGTATGTGCTGTGTTTGCTGGGCACTTGTGCAACAGCTGCAGATGAAAATTGCAAATGAAACTTAGCTCAGGCCGGGCCGATGCTGAGTGGAGTGGCGTGCAGTGCCCCCGAGTGCTCTTCGAGCTGGTATGAGATCCCTCGGTAGATGCACAAATCAACGTTAAGTGCATGTAACTCACACAAACACAACGCCACCACGCCACACATACAGAGACACTCCTCGGCACACCCACACTGGGCAACACATGGGCAGTGGGGCTAGCTGGGGGCACAGCCTTTTGGGGTGGGCGGTGGCCTTTGCACTGGCAAGTGTCAAAGTTGCATGTTATTGCATCAACATTATTCCTTCTCCAACTTCGCACGCTAGTTCTTGCAACAGGGTATTCGTGGAGGCCATTACGAGTTGTTCACATACCCAACAAAAAGCATTTTTTATTTTATTAAGTATACGTAAGTGTTCTTGGTCGTTGATATAATGCAGAGACCTGTAAAGAAGGGCTATAAATATAATCCAAATTGGGTGACTCATTCATACACCTTCCATGGTAACGATCCATTGGC